CATCTTATCAGAGCCGGAAGAAATTGTTGCAATGAACGGACAAAAATTGGCTATGCGGTTGCAGGTCATTTCTTATTTTAAACTTTATTAATAGTTTTGAAAGCGGTCGTTGTTCATAGGTTTTTTTCAAGTTCTAATAAATTCAATAACTTAATTTTAATATTTTCAAAGCAGGTGAATATCGAAAGCGCACCGTAAAAAAATGATTTTTACAGATTGATTTTGCGCTTCTTCCTAGATAGAAAAATAAAAATAATAATACTGTAAGATCTTCATGGTAAGAAAAAACGGAATGTTAGGAGAACAGAAAAATACTTTTTTTGCTTAAGAATTTCAAAATGTACGCTTTTATTTTCAAATACGGTGAAAATGATGAACTATAATTTCTAGGTTATTTTAGGTCGCTTATATTAGTTTCTCGGCACATACAGATTATACCCAAACATCCGATTTTATTCGTGCTCTTCGTCCACCGCATCTAGTATTGGTACATGGGGAAATGAATGAAATGAATCGTTTGAAAGCAGCAATCATAAGGCAGTATGAAGATGAATCCGATTTTCATATCGAGGTAAACCTGAATGATTTTTTTTTACTCGTTATTGCAAATCTTGTGATCAGAACACTCATGCTTATTAATCGCTAATGAAAGCATACTAATGTGTTTGAAGACAATCTTTGGAATTTAGCTTGCGCCTGTTCTAAATAAGAAAGCTTCCTTTTAACTACCCACAAAATAACAATTAGCCAGAACATAAGGAACATATTTTTGTAATCCATAAAGTCGCCATTTAAGCGAAAATTAGGACAAATTTTTGTGGAAACTTTACTTTGATCTTATGTTTGCTTTCAGTACAGAAATTTCAATAAACTGGTTTGTTATTTTGCAGGTATATAATCCTCGAAATACTGAATCAGTTGAATTGCATTTCAGAGGAGAAAAAACGGCGAAGGTGCATGCTTTAAATTCATTTTCCAAGGAAAATGCTCGTTTTTGCGAAAAAAGCTTTATGTTTTGGTAGAATGTTTGATATGCAGATATTGTTTTTAAAACTTTTCAGTATAACTTTAAATCATCCCAATTCAATTGAAATTTTTAAATTATTTAGCAGCTAAGTTTTTATTGTTCTCTCTTTATAATGCTACTAAAATAATATTTTTCGATTAATTTGAAGGTTGTTGGCAAAATGGCGATGACAGCACCAGGAGATGGACGAATTTTGAGCGGTGTCTTGATTCGACGGAATTTTAATTATCATTTGATGCATGCTGATGATCTCAGCGGTATGTTTTGTACCTTTTTTCTTTTTTCTGGAAATTTCTTCATGGTAGCCAAGTTTTAAAATTATGGGCAGAAACGCAAAGTGCAAATACTAGTAAGTTACATTCTGTTGACTATTCCTTCATGTATTTCTGTCCTAGTTTTTGAAACAGATTTGACATTGGTAAGCCGGAATGCTAACGGATCCGGCTGCTACTATTTGCATTTCTCAAACTTTCATATCAACGTTTTTGATAATAGATTTTTTTACATAGTAGCAATCAAAATTTTTGGATTAATACAACTGCTGGATTTTCCCCATGTTTGTAGCATATACGGATTTGTCAAACAGTATCTTGACACAACGAGAGAGTGTCTTCTACAGTGGTACGATTACATTGCTACTTCATAATTTGCAACAAGTGGCTGGCGATGTGAGCTGTGATGAAATTGATTCCAAAGATGCTTCTGACCCAACTCACATTATCAAATTGTTTGATGTTAGTACATTTTATTATATGAAATTATCTAATGAAGGTTTGTTAATATTGGTTTTTTAATTTCTCATATACATAAAGGTTTATTATTTTCTCATACACATCATGAGAATAGTCCATGTACGCCGAAAGTATAACAATTTTTATAAAAACGAATTGATTACCATGTATATCCTTTATTTACTACCAAATTCTCATGATTCCATTTAGTTCATATGGGAAAAAAGGTGATCGTTTTTAAACTTTTACGCTTACAGATTTATTTTTAGCCAGCAAACCAAATTTCTGCCGTGAGATAGGACAAAAATTCTTGCAGCTACCTCAGCATTTACTTATTATAATACAATAATTTCCTTGTCATTTACTTACTATGATACATTTTTTTATTATATTTTGCATAGGAACGAATCCGTGTGTTAGTCTATTACTCGCAACATGTAGCTATTATTGAATGGACATCAAATCCTGTAAGCGATATGTTTGCTGATGCAGCTTTGGCCGCAATTTTGCATGCACAGATAAATCCGGTGCCTGATAAAAGTAGGTTTATGAGCTTGTTTTTCTTTTATATCATCTTTGTAATACTACTAACAGCAAATCATTGCTGCGCTTGACAAACGGATAACTCTTTACTACAACTATTTGTCAGTACCAATCATCAAAAAATTTGCACAACAATGGATAGTTAAAGAAACTCATCACTTCTCTGGTTTTAAATTTCCTATATGATCAAAATTATTTAATATGCTCATAATAACGAAGAGGTTAGGTTTAGTTTATGTGTCTACTGTCCTACATTAATTGATATTATCTTATTTGATAATTAGAGCAATTATCTTTCAGAAAGCTTATAAACACAAGCTCTTCACATACTGGTTTCGTTTGTGCTGTTTATCATGATTGTTCTTATTCATTTGTAGAGAGAGAATTACGATTCTTATTTTTTGCTATTCTCTCATCTTCATATTTCAGACCTTGCAAAATGGAATGTAAAACCTAATGAAACAGATTGTTTAATGAAAACATTGGCTGAACTGTGTGGTGATCAGGCGACTATCCGGAAAACCGAAAATCTAATTGAGTTGGAAGTAGACGGGAAGGAAGCTAAAATAGATATGGACACAATGCACATTTCATGTACCGATCAGCTGTTGCATCATTTGATCACTTCCGTATGCCAGAAAATGATGAATTCTCTACTTCCAGTCTGCACCTTGACAGTAGCTAAGTAATCATTTGTTGAGAAATCATGAATTAATGGGAATTATCTGTGATTAATAAGAATAGAAAATGATCCATGATTAATTTCCAGACTTCATGAGAAAATGAAGGAAGATGTTAGCGTTTGATTGTTAAGGACAAAGAATGTTTATTGAAATTATTCACTTGTATTACATCTCACTTTTTAAAATAAAATCTGTTTAATTTGGTTAAGTGATCAGGCCATTAGGATTACTAAAATTGTCTGATTCATCCGGTGCTGCAACACATCCTTAAATCTCGAATGAAAAAAATGTAAATGGATTAGCACTGCTGGAATTATTTGGATCAATCAACTGTTACAACAAAAGCTAATAGTAGCATACCAATCACTTCTATACTCTTTAAATATATAAAATTGCGTTAATAACTTATCGACTGACAGATTACTTAAACGCAATTCTCCCTGCACTTAAAAAAATATTTCCATTAAACCTTGATTTCAAGAATGAGAATGTATGTAAATGGTTGAATAATGTTAAGAATCTAGCGTTATGATTATGTCTTAGCAGGATTACTCTTTGTAATTATAAACATAAACTAATCCTTCTTAATTTATTAAAAGACTCTCATAAACACCATCCGAGCTTTCAATCCCTTCTCGTATCGATGTTTAACTGAGCAGATCCGGATCATCAATGATAGCGTTACTTTTGCAACGTTTAACAGAAAGCAACTGTTAGTTTGGATTTTTAAACTCGCAGGCGATTCGAAGATAAGAGATATGATTGAATTGAAATGGATATTTCACTAATGTGTTTCATGTTTTGATGGTTGAGAATTAAATTAGTGCTCTATCATTATCGTTATCATTACAATTCTAATTAATTACAATGATGAGAATCATTTTCATTATAAATATGATTCTGATTTTAACTGTTCACCTCTCCTTGTTAGTAAGTCACTGTACGAGAGGAAGAAGTGTTTCAATGCAACTTTAACGTTCATTAAAAATTTTGTAAAAGTTCAATTTTCAAATGTAATGCATTGAACTCCGTATAAAAACTCCTGAGATTCGGTTTCCTAATTTATTTGGAGAAGAATTTGAAGAAGTATCGGATATAATTATATTAATAGTTACTGGATAAATCTAAAACACTTCAGTCTAGCAAGAGTTTGTAATTTCTACTTCAATACATGCATTTAGTGCTACTGCTTATTTCTTTCCTAAAAAATTTTTCTTCAAATAATACTTCACACTGTTGCTAATTTCTGGAAAAAGCTCGAGTTTCGATAGTTTATAATCTTTTAGTAAAATAATTTTAAAAAAAAAATTTAAAAATTGATCAATGTATATATGAATTGCATATAGCATGATTTCAATTGATATTTTAGTATTGAAGTCAGCTGAACAAATATACACTTTTTGTCTTTATCAGTTGGCGAAGGGAGGAAAAAAAGATTTAGGAAACAAATAGATTTCCCCTTTGAAAAATCGTTTGGTAAGATAGGAAAGCGATTAGATCAAACGGACAATATGGCTGCTATGAGGGCGTCAGACACTATTCGCTACATTAAACATTGATTTTGTTTTGATTATTTTTCAAACGCGATGATGCGGTTTTAAATACTTCAAATGCCATTATTGAATGTTATTGGATCGACTATTTCATTTGATTTTCATGTAAAATTTAAAAAACAAGAGAAAGAAAAATTTTTTCTTTCACTTTTATTTATCATTGTATTATTTTTGAATATATACGATAAGTTATACACAATAAAATCATGCATTCATTACAAAAAATTTCATATAATAAATTAACTTAATAAAATATATCTTTATCTCCGGCTATAAGTAGCTATTATTAAATCATTTATTATTTTAATAAAACAAAATAAAAAGTAATTTAATTCCAGATTTCTTGTTCATAATCGAAAAGAGAGAATTGAATTTATTCTAAATATATGGAAAAAAAATTACTCATTTTTTTCTATTTACAAGAAAGAAATTATTATTCATACATTAATAATCATACTATTATTATGCAACGCGCTCATTTTGTATAAATGATTGTAATGCATCAAAAAAATTTTACTGTCTTCAATTCGAGAGTACTGTATGATAGAGGAAGTAGTTGTTCCGTTCCGTTCTATGATATATATTTATCCCTTCTATTCGGAACATTTTTCTCTCATTTTTTTCCGTTTCTTTTTTTTTCAAAAAAAAAATTTTCCTTCGATTGCGATGTGAAGAAAAATTTATTTTATTTCTATCCTAAACATTATTCATCAATCTTTTTTTCGCCATCATAAAAATCACTTGAAAAAATTAACATTTCACTTTATATAATAAATTAATCTCACGTATCACACATCGTCTTGCATTAGTATATCTTCGAAAAGAGTAAAATTCCTCAGAGGAATGAGATTGATATGTATTATTATCTTTTCAATGAAATATACAGATATCTTCGATTTTTGTTTGCAAGAAAAGAATATGTGATTCGAATGAGCTGATAAAATTGAGGAATGTAAAGAATAGTAAACAGCTGAGAGTATACGGATATGATGTTTTAGTGATAGTAAGCGCGTGATAATGTGTAAACTCCTAAAAAGATAATTAATGGAAGAAGGCACTTGCAATATCCATTTAAGATAGATTAAATCTGAGTAGATGGAATTCTTTCATTAGTTCTCTCTCTTGGGCTTGAAATGATTTAAAATAGCCTTTCTTTATCAATTATTTGAGAGAGAAATAGATTTATTCATGCATTAATATCACTGTTGATAAAAATAAGATTTGATATTTTATTAAGCATTTGATCGAGGAACAGTCAAGCTAACATTGCTAACTGAATAAGTGATGATATTTAATGGATATTGATCAAGTGAATGATGAATTTGGGTCATCTGATCCGTACAAATGACCCATTCTCCTTATTTCTTCAATGATTGTCAATGTGATGTAATTGAAGTAAGGAGTCAAAAAATTTTCACACAGACGCTGTTAATTTCAGAACCTGAAGTTCGGTTCCGCTATGTAAACGTTGCTATTGGTTGGGAGGTTGTGACGTGTTTTTTGAGTTGCTCTTGAGATAGACAGATATTTGTGTGAATATTTTGAATGTTTTGTTGAATAGTAAGGCTTTCTACTTATAGCTGAATACTCATTCATTCATAGTGTACAATTTATGCGCTAATGTGATAATACGAAAGATTTTAACATTTACCCCTTCATATAAATGCTTTCCCGCTAACTGATCATTGCTTGAATACACGTGGTACTTTTTATTTTCTTCTTTTTATTTTTAATTTTTTTTGCATTTCTTTTACTTGTATCATTCATATTAACATCAATCAAGAATGATCAAATTTTGGGAAAGATTTTCATGATTAAATTTTCGGGAAAGATTTAGGGTCGAAAGAAGAAAGAAGACGACACTTTTTTTTAAAAGAAGAACGTACTGAAAATGATATTATCTGGCTTACGACATCACTGTTTTAGGAAGAAATGGTGAGGAATATGTGAATTTATATAATCTGTTTTTTTCTCTTATCCATTCGTTCTATCAATCTCTACGTGGTTTTGAATAGATGTAATATGATATGTCTGTACAGCGGTTAATTTCAGTTAAACAAACTCGACAAAGCATTCCGATAACTAACTGTTTACAATGAATCCATCAGGAAGAAGCTGATTTCTTTACCCAAATTGATTGCATATTTTTGTCGAGAAATCAGTTTGGGTATACTTTTTACTGCCAGTAAAAATCACATCTTTACTAGTGACAGTGACTATACTATTATACTACCATTAATCATTTTACCGATTACTTATGGTTCCATATCAACAGTTAGTAATAGTTGCGAGGTAATAGCTTCATTGATTTTTATAATACCACGTGAGAGACTTCTTAAGAAATCAATGGATTGCTTTTGAGAAATCATTTATTTACAAAGTTTTCATAGTCTTTTCTAGTTTTTTGTATACTGCAGAAGTATAATAGTAGAACATGATTTTTCTGTAACTTGATTGTTTTTAGAGTGTTCTACGTAAGGGAAATTTTGTGTGAGCTTGTATCAAAAGATCGAAATATCTAGTTCAAATAGATATGCAAATAAAAAAATTGCCCTCACCTACAATAGTTTACGATACTTGTAGTTTCACTTCTTTTAGCATACTGTGTTATCACAGTAGATTCATTTGAATTTAAATATTTTTTAACTTTAACGGACATATGAACAGGATTGGAAGATGTGTAACCTTTCTGAAAAGTATTTGTCTAAATATGATGCTTATACGAATTAAAATAACATAACTATTAACTGATAATGAGCTCGACACTTTTACTGATAATGAATTGATAATGGATTGATATTAACTGATAATGAACACTTTAAGGATTATAATGCCAGGAATTATCGTTTGTAAGTAAGGGCATAATTGCTATTGCTTTCTTTAGTTATAACTTAGTTACTTATTATTTAGCATATATCATTGTACTACATGTATTATAAAAGTACTCAAATTTTTATAGGTTAAATAGTGATGGTTAGATGTCGAGCAAAATGGGCATTATCGTTGCTGTTCCTTGCTTGGGTTATAACTATTGGCTACATCGCTTATCACAGCTATAACAATTCTTTATTGAATTCTTTTGCATCAATTCCCGCTCCTGGAACTTACACTGCTGCTGACTTGCGAGAGGTAACGCATTTTAATATAGTTGCAATCAATTCTTCCTTACTTTATGCTATATTATGTAATTAAGAAGTGTTGAAGACTGTTATATTAACTGAATTTGGAAAGAGTTGGAATGACAGTTTATAATATTTTCATTAATCTTTGTGAATGATCCTCAGCTTCATCAAGAATCTCCTGTATTAGATCAAAATCGATTCTATACTGCAACTGTGAAAAGAAGAAAAGCATTTATGATGAAATTCTGAAATGAAAAATGTCTGCTTTCTTTTTCGTCCCATTATTAGTATGAAATTGGTGCACGTGATATGTAATGTCTGGTATTTACTTTTGAAGATCAAAGTAATATACTTTCATAATATGTCTAGAATAGCGATTCATTGGAAACAGTTTCATGGTCACAAAAATTTATTATCCCTTTCTAGAAATTTCGGCAATCTTTTGAAAAAGCTAATGCTAAAAGAAATGAACTGAATAATGCTATTATCTACTCGAAACCGGAAAAAATTCTGAGCTGGAAGGACTTTGATCATGAAGCTTTTTTGAGGAAAGGTAGTCTACAACCAGGTGAAGACAGGTAATTCTTTTTTTATAGAATTAGGTAACTGTGCGTGTACCAGATTTTTTTCTAGATTTTATTTACTAAAATATGAACGCGAAGGAATTCATGTTTATACCTTAAATAAAAAAAATTTGGCCGGTCCATAACTCAGATTATTGTAAGTGTTTGTTTAGTTCGTAAAGGATTTGAAGATTTGTTGCGTAAAAATTTGGTTGCGTTATGTAGAATAACAGCGACATTTCATCAAATGCATTCTTTCATAGATGTTAAAAGAATAAAATTAAGGAATTCTTTATTCAGCTTACTTGACTTTTATTGGCACTACCGCTCTTTTGGCAGTTTTGAGACTGGTAATCCACTAAAAGTGAAAAAAAAAACTTTTCAGTTGATATGAAGTTTGTATCACAAGGACTGAACTATCTAATGGAGCAAGACTTAAATCATATAATTTCATAAGCAATAATAACATTGCTAATAAATCATGGTTTTAGATATGCTGCAAATAAATTTAATCAAGCTGCCAGTGACGCTACAAGATGGGATCGCGATATTATCGATTCCCGGGAAGCAAGGTAAACTTGAAATTCTTGTTCTAATTCTTATCGAAGTAATTTATTTACGGATGTGGATTTCATGACAAATTTTAGATTTATAAAGGAAAACTATGTGTTTAGATTCTATAAAAGAATTGGAAATTTTTGGAGTTATTTGGTGAAAATTAGCTTTTTTTTGCATTCATTTTGAAAATCCATGACGGAAGTGAAATAAGTGCATGAGTCGACGATTTCTAAAAGTGCTGAGAAACAGCTTTTTGTTATAATGAATAAAAAATAAATAAATTGGTGGAATCATGTCCATATTTCAGTTGCAGCACTATAATATACGACACAGAAACTCTCCCTTCAACTTCGGTTATAATAACTTACCATAATGAAGCACGATCGACATTACTGCGTACAGTGGTCAGTGTATTCCTTCGTTCGCCACCGCAATTACTTCACGAAATTATTCTTGTTGATGATTTTTCAGATGACAGTAAGTCTGTTAATTAAAATAAATTTCCAGCGGAGAAGGACTTTCTATACTTCTTAACTTTTCAATTATTGAAATACGAATCATAACAGATGATTGTAACAGTAGAAAAACCGGCACATTAAATTGTTAAATGTTAGCATTATGAACTTTTTTCATAATTGTTTCATATCACGGCATTACGAGTATTGCGTCTTCTGAAAGTTTAATTAAGTCTGCGAGAGAAATATTAATAAGGAGGCCAAAGACATATGGCCAATCTTAAGGAAATATCACATAATTTTTACTTAGATGCAAAGAACTATATTATGAATTTTTATGTCTAAATTACTTTTTAAAATATACTTTTGCAACCTATTTAGTTGCGATTGGAACAGATTTGCTGTCAATAGAAAACGTGATTGTTATAAGAAATACAAAACGTGAAGGTTTGCTTTAAATTTTGTGAATTCAAAAATTTATTGAGCCAAAAATTTGGCTTAACAAGTTAAAAGATGAGATTGTAGCCACTAAAAAGAAATTTACCAACGTTAACTGGTAAAGCGTTTGTCAAAAAGTTGCTATTATAAACAATGGAAATCTAGAACATGACGGTTAGGTTTGAATTGGAAAATTTTTAAGAGGCATATTTTGTTATTTCGAATCTAAAAATTTGAAATGGTTTAAATCAGATCTTGAAAGAGTTCAAAACTTTAGCAAAAAAACGAGCATGTGCAATTGTTTTTTTTGTGCAATATTAAGTCCTATATTATATTTTATCAATAAATTGAAGGTCTAATAAGATCTCGTGTGAAGGGATCAGCACTGGCGCGTGCCTCGGTGCTTACTTTTTTGGATAGTCACTGTGAATGTAATGTAAACTGGTTAGAACCATTGCTTGCACGAGTTAAAGAAAATTATCGGGCTGTCGTTGCTCCCGTTATTGATGTCATCGACAGAGATACGTTCAAATATGTAGCTGCCAGCGCTGATTTGAGAGGAGGTCTACTTCTTTCTTAATCATCAGAAAATGCATCATTTTTCAACTTGAGCGTGCAGTAAATAAAAAAGAACATTATTAATTGTTTCTTAAAGGTGACACATATTTATATCAAAAAATTTGCTAAATACTTTAAACTGACTTCCATGGAGTTTAAATCTATTTCTCGCCTTGTCTAGGATTTGAGTGGAATCTCGTCTTTAAATGGGAATATTTGACGGGCAAGTTACGGGATGAGCGACATGCACGACCCACGGCACCGATAAGGTAGGTCTTCTTACTTAGATTTTTTAATTTTGCAGTTATTTTTTCCACGTAAAATCATCTACCGATAAAACGAGCGCTTTTTTGCAGCATTTTTTCCAGATTAATTTTGGATTTATTAGTTATTCCCAATAGGTACTTCATTCCTTAAATATAATCTTCATCTTTGTTCTTATAGGTGGAACGCAAACATAATGTCGGGTAGTTCAATCCCGATTGTATATATATATTTGGTCATTTAGTTTGTAAGTTATTTCATGCTGATTTTAGGACGCCAGTAATAGCTGGTGGTTTATTTATGATCCAGAAAGATTGGTTTCAAAAACTAGGCACGTATGATGAAGAAATGGATATTTGGGGTGGCGAGAATCTTGGTTAGTTTACAGATTCCAACTTTCCGTTGTTCAAATTTTTCATAGATTCTAAGGAAAATGATATAAAATAAAATGTCATCAAGATGAGATGAAGATTAAAGCCTCGTCTGAATCTACTTGATGATGACATCGATAACTCTGAGCGTGGAATCTAAAATAAATAAGATGAAATAAAAAAGGTGAAAAGTGTTTGGTTTCGGATTTCCCCGCAGACGTTCTGCCATTTTTCAGCATATCAAGGATGCTATAGCCAGATTTGCAATCATTGTTGTTTTGTTTATTAACAAGTAATAAAACGAAACTATTTACTTTTTTACTGTTGTTATTTATCCAGTTTTCTTAGGTTTGATTTGATGAAATTATTCTGTGAATATTTATCTATACAGAATTATCATTTCGAGTGTGGCAATGCGGTGGTTCATTGGAAATTATTCCCTGCAGTCGAGTTGGTCATGTGTTTCGTAAGCAACATCCGTATACTTTTCCAGGTGGCAGTGGCAATGTTTTCCAAAAGTGAGTTTTCATTTTTTTCATTTAAGATTTTTTCCATGTTACAAATTTATGAGTTACAAAATTCTCCCCTTGTTTTGCTTCTCTTGATGTATCCACCTCACAAATATCGAGATCAGTGACGATCAAGATCATAAGCTTATTTTTGCAGAAACACAAGGCGAGTCGCTGAAGTATGGCTAGGCGATTATAAGCATCTTTATTTAAGAAAAGTACCATCTGCTCGATATGTTGATTTTGGCGAGTAAGTGTTTTTATTACCGTTTATATTTTAATTCGATATTTTCAAACTTTGCGGTGATCATTTCACATCATTATTTTTGTTTCAGCATCACAGCAAGATTGGATTTAAAGGAAAGATTACAGTGCAAGGATTTCGATTGGTATTTGAAAGAGATTTATCCGGAATTGACGTATGTTTTTCCCACTGTTTTTCTGTTTATTTTCTGTGACGCTTTTCTAATTTGTAAGTGTAATGAAAGCTAGAATGGTTCTATTGACATTGAATGTATTTATTCATTTTTATCTTTAAAAGCAACTTAGATTAAAAATTGACGAAGATTATTCAATTTCATTCTAGATGAAATATTTGTTTAAAGCGTCAATATAAATTAATGAAAAAACGAAAAACATCGTCATTTATGCTTGGAACTGGTGATAACTTGATAAGAAGTAAAGTTTCTCAAAATTGTTATTTAGAATTCCTTTGAAAGAGCAAGGACGATATCTGACATTTAGACAAGGAAAAGTTTGTATTGACTCTTTGGGTAAACAGATTGCTTTATCTTCCGTTGGTATTTACCGTTGTCATGGTACGGGAGGAAATCAGGTATGGTTTTGTTAATAATTAAGATTTTATTGTGTGGAAGTTGACAAGTACGTTTGAAATCTTAAGCCTTTGCTAAATTGGGATTGGTACAGATCGAAATACTGAGATTTACTTCACATTTTGGTGCATTGTGTTACATGATTTTTTTTTAAGCATAAAAGAATGCCAGACCAATGGGCAATATGGCTACGTCTAAGTAGTGGTAGAACGCATGTAGTAAAGATGACTTTGATTTTTTGTACTGTTTCCAGCTGAAATTCTGTACTGTTTTGATTATCTAATCATCTATATACATGGAAAAGTGAAATAAGGTTACATCTTGAAAAAAGTTACATCTTTCTCAATTCTAATTGTGATAACATATAGTGAACCTCTGATTCAAACATCAGTTATAGGAATGGGTATTAAATGGTAAGCTTGGTACTTTAAAGAGCCCATATTCAAACTTATGTATAACGGATGACGAGAAGGGAATGCTAATTCTACATTATTGTAATATGGTTAGTATTTTTGCACACATTATCAATGAAACATTTCAATCTATCCGACGATCTGATCATAATTTTATCCCATTCAGAAATGTTATTACGAAATTATTTCAAATCATTCATACCTTCTGATATGTTAGTACTTCAATTTAGTAACATAGAAAAGTTTTTTATAGCAAACAGTATATTGAAGTAAAGTTACTGTTACAGACTAGAGGAAGATGGATTTTGGATGAAGTGAACGGAAGATTACTCAAAAATAACCAGTGTACAGCTCTGCTGCTATCAAGCTCTGATGATCGAGATAATGTGCTAGTGTTAATGCCATGTGATGTTACGGATGAACGACAACGTTGGATATTTGAGAAACCTCCAGCATTTTGATTTCATGTTTGTGCAATATATGCCAATTTTGCGACAGAGTTTCTTGTAAAAATTTCTATTTTATTGAATTGCTTTCAAATTTTCAAATTGTTTAATTTGAGCTTTAAAATAAGGTGCTATCTTTTCCGTCTTTGCTCTTGTTTAAAACTGGTATATGAAAAACCAAGTGAATAATAGTGTAATAGTGTCCATATATTGTTTTAAATTTGTTCGCGTTGTTATTTAATTCCCAAATTTAATTGAAACATTCAGTCTATCCGATGTTTAGGCTTTCACCAATCTGAATCGATTAATCTTTACTGGCAGCATGTTCAGGTGTCTTCCAATTCATATGATCATACAATTCGTTGTACTTATGCATGATTCAATTATTGTTATTTATATATGATTTTGGAGTTCCAATGTCATTTATGAGCACTTTTTTTTTTAGAAACGGGACTTGTAAATTTCATCAAATATTACGTGTTACGTGTTAATTTATGAATTTTCCACCTGTTCATGTGTTCTAGAGAACTAACATTCAAGGCACTGTGCGGCGGATGTATGATTACGTGAAAACTTTATGTTACTTTATTTATTTAATTTCTGTAATTTATTTCCTTCGAAAGTTCTGACAGAGTAGATTTGAAAATTATAAGTAGCGGATTGTGTCATATTGTTTCTACAATTTCTTTCTTATTTCATCTCCCTTTGAGTGTTTTGCAGATTACATACTTTTTAATAAGTCTGAAAGCATAAGATAGTTTTTTCTTCCAGAAAAATGATTGGTCATGTTAGGTGTTTTTTCTAAATTTAATTTGCAATGATAGCTTTTATTCTGTCCTCATTCAGAACTTCCCAGATATCTTTCAAAAACTAGGCCTTATTTGTGACTCCATTAGGCGACTATATAAGTACAGGTAATTAGACAATAAACGAGCACAAACAAAATTATGCATAATGGAGAACCGGATTGATGGGAAGCATAGCAAATTACTGAGATTATTTATCAGTTCTCTTATTCGAAATTTTTGCTGAGTTTTTCATTTCTTTTTTTCAATTTCTCAAAGCTTTAAACCATGTGAATCTTGAATTTTTGCTTGTATATCTCATATTGTGTTTTCGTTGATCAGATATATTTTAATTATGCTTCTTTTCTAGTCTTACGCTTATTGTCTTTTTACAATATACTCTTTGTAACCAGTTCCATAGCTTATAGTATCCGTTGTTGCGCCAATTTAAGGATGAATTTTGAAACTTTGTCTAAGAAAATTTATTTTTACTGAATTAATTGACGGTGTAGATAGATCAGCAAATAACATAGTGAAATTAGTAAATATCTAGTGAATTATGCCCATGCAAAATTAAGACAGTATGAAATAAAGTAAGTTTAATCGAACTATGATCTGAAGATAAGAGAATGAGAATGTGTTTTCTGTTGCAACAATCTGATTAATTTTCACATATGAAAAGTTAATTCTTGTAGTAAACCCTACATAGTTATATTAATGTTTAACATATGTATAAAATTATGTTTGGTTGCAATATGAAATAGAAAAGATAAAATTTTTGTTCATTGAAGATTATTGTTTCTGTAATTCTCATTCCTGTTATTAATTGTCACTTTACCGTAACGAGTTTTGCAGTGTTAATCGGGGTGGGGATAATACTTTTTGATTGGAAGTTGACACAACAAGATAATCTATCGTCATCTGATTCATATCTTTCCCTATTAATTATATCTGTAGAAAGATCCGTAAATTCTTCTATTATTTAACTTTACCTAAAGTAAGTTAAGATTATGATGATTCTCCGAAATCGGGCATTTGTAAAACGCACATGTAAAGATTATATGATGAAGAATTTGATGGTATTCGCATAGGAAATTGATCTAAATTGAAAATATTTTAACACAAGGCGTTAGTTAATTATTTTCCTACTTTTTTGCTAGAACTGGTTTTACTAAAAGCTTGTCTATATGACCTTAATATTTCAATCTGTTGTTTCATAACAGTTTCGTAATAGAGTACTTACTACTATTTTTATTGTTGCAGGTAGTGAATGTTAATCCTCATCCTTTTTTTAACTTTGCTGTGTGGTTCGATACACGCATTGTATTTCCATATCGCTGAAACTGAGCGGAAGTGTTTCATCGAGGAGATACCCGATGAAACAACTGTGATTGGTAATTATAAAGTGATGTTATACGATCCGAACACGAAAGGTTATGGTGAATATCCGAAGATTGGAATGCATGTTGAAGTTAAAGATCCCGAAGATAAGGTATCCCTATCTGGTTTTATAATTGAACGTCAGTTATAAGTTATGGAAATAAATTTATTTGAAAAAGTACCGAAAGTATTGTTGGTCAATGGTACGAGGTTTCTTTATCAATCTTTAGCAATTCAATTTATTTAATATGTAATATTATATTGGTGTATTTCATACTTCCAAAGACGCTAATATGTTTGTAATGCAAAGCATATCCTAGAAGCATTAGGGTTGACTTTATTATTTTATTTATCATAACTGCTGTGTAGAAAAATTTTGATCGTAGCGAGTTTTTATACATTATATTATCATTAATTTTTTTTTTGATTCTGGTTATTATCATAATTTGTTTTAGATTTGATTTTGGTTACTACCATAATTAGTCTCAGAAATGGATATAAGGGCTCGAAATCTGACTGATATTCTATTTAGATCATAAAATGGAAATTCTAAATTAATTTCATTATTTGCTATACTTTTAGATTATCTTATCAAAATTATATACCAGTGAAGGACGATTTACATTTACCTCCCACTCACCTGGTGAACATTTCATCTGTTTATATTCGAATTCATCCTCTTGGTTTAGTGGTGCACAGCTGCGGGTGTATCTTGACATTCAGACTGGTGAACACACACAGGACTACGAGCAGGTAATTTTTAATTTATCAGGATCATTTGGTTAATTTATAAATGAAAGCGTTTTGAAAGTTACGTTAGCTCTTACTGTTTTGATCAAATTTTATCGCATTTCGTTCAATATTTCGCTTGACGCAATCAGATTTTTTTGCAACTATTTTGTTATTAAGTTCTGCATTTCTGAGAGTCACCTTTAATTCGCCATCTGTCCCACTTCGAGATAAGTTATCTCAGGTAGCTGCAAAAGATAAACTGAACGAGTTACAACTTCGAATCAGGCAGTTACTTGATCAAGTTGAGCAGATTTCCAAGGAACAGAACTATCAGCGGTACAGGTGTGCTTCATTTCGCTTTCGAATGATTTAAAATTTAGTAACTTTTATTATTGAAATTAGCGGGAGTCCTTCTTTATTTGGCATCGTTGAAGAATACGCGTATTCCTAATATGTTCATAAATATATTTTCTGAAAAAGACTTTTTAATTTATGCTGGTGCTTGCAGTTTTATCTAATTTTTGTCAGTTGTAACTGTCAACTAATTTAAGGGAAGAACGTTTCCGACAAACAAGTGAAAACACGAACTCACGAGTGTTATGGTGGTCCATTGCACAAACAATAGTACTGTTATTAACCGGAGCTTGGCAAATGCGTCATTTGAAGGGATTCTTTGAAGCTAAAAAACTCGTTTGATCAGTGTTTACTTTTAGAGTCCCATTTTTCCCATGTTTTTAGGTTTTATATTTTTTTTCGAGATGGAACGCTTTTATGATTTTTTGCTGTGAAAAAATGAAAACTTATTTTCTTCTTTCATCTTAAAAATTGCAGATAATAATTTCGATATTTTTTTTCCCACTTCAGAGATTTTTGATAGTGAATATCTCGTATTTTAAAGGAAAGTCATGGAAGGACTTCTAAAAATTGTTAAGATTAGCATTCCGATTGCATTCATTGTAAAGTGATTTTAGTGCAGTTCGTGTTTTATTTTTGTATTCTAACAGTTTTTCGGGGTTGATTAGGATTTAATCAAAATATATTAATAATTAAATTTCTTCGTTTATTAAAATTCATAGTCAGCAGAACATGAGCATGATTGTGAAATGGCTGATCTGAGGTAAATGATACTGCAACTATTCTAAATAAGGTGTTGGTGTTATGGTAATCAGCAGGTAAATATTGGTTTTTTTTATGAATTACATATTAAATATTTTAATCATTAAAATTAATTTAATGAATATAAATCTTGTCATTGTTTTCTGGTTGTTGCCGAAGTACTAAACCGCATTTTTATGCATCCAACCTAAGTCACTCATAATCTGCAATATTCATCAAATGATGATTTTCGTGAAAATCAGTACACATCATTTTCGCTAAATCATAATTTACAAAATCGATATTGCATGTGTATAATATTCCATCTATTATTTTCGATATCATACTTTTCATCATTCTAAGTATTTGTAATTCTTTAATTCTTGTTACTGTTTGCTTCATCTACTAATTTGATTTTTAATTTACATCCGGACGTTATTTTCTTTGGTTGTTTTCCTCTCCTTTACCGATTCATCTGTTTAGACCTTTTTTTTCCTACAACAGAGCATTATTTAGCATGTTCGTCTCTTTAAATTACGAAAAACAGTTGCAATTCTTTTTCTGTTTGAAAAGTTTCATCATTATAAAGGCTGGAAGTTGATTGATTGATGTTTAAAAAAGAGATAATTGTTTTACTGTCTACATACTGATACACTTGAACCTAATTTCTCATTGCCTTGCAAAGCGAATTGAGAAGACATCAATGACGGAATTAGTTATTTACCAATATTGTTTCTAACTGTTGAGTTGTATCTTAGCCGAGATCTGAGGATTGGAAGGATGAAGCATTGTTGGCAATTAACGCTCAAAATGGAAAATTGTTTGCAGAAGTACTAATGTTTATTCCAAAATGGATGAAAGCAAGAGTTTCAAAGGGATGGGTAGCAGTAATTTCTGCATGTGCAGGTGTTAGTGGTGCATACTACAGTTACTTGTATGTTTTTTTTTCCTTCAAACATACGTTCTATTTAAGGATTGAAGATGAAAAGGCAAAATGTTAATCTAGCCAAATGTTTTCAGCTATTTTCATTTCAAAAGTTATTTTATGCAAAAATATACTAAAGTATTCTGTATTAAATAAATTTTGCTGTATTATTAATGCATATGACACCCATTCGTACAGTATTAGAAGAGGAACGAAGTTAAAGATGGGAATAGAAAGTTTGGTATTTTTTTTTCTCTCTCATAAATTCTGTAATCTAGAAATAGCATACTGTTCACTGCTATTTAAATTATCCAAATCAAAGTTATGATAATTAACAATTTTTAATCTAAAATGTTTTAAATATTAATTTGTCTAATTTTAGTCATGGCAAACCATACGATAATTATAAATTTGAACATGATTTGGCTAATAAAACATATATCGTTGTGGGTGCTTCTTCTGGCATTGGCAAAGAAACAGCCAAAGAATTGGCAATGCGAAAAGCGAAAGTAATTATGGCTTGTAGGTGAGATCATATGTCAGTTTTTAATAATGTAATTATAAAATGAAAATGTAGGTTTTTACGAAATATTTCCGAAATATCTGTAAAATTAGAGGAACAGTATGTTAAATATTTGTTCTGATGACTAAATGAAAACAAGACAGTTACACTAGTCTGACATTTCGGTATTGGAGCCATCATTTAGTAGCATCTAAAGACTGTATCGTTAGCTTATAAATATAAGAATGAGAATGTCAGAATGGTACAAGAAAGTAGTGCACATCTTTAGTCCAGTAACTTTATAGGAATAATCGGAAATGCATTGAAGCTCGTCGAAACTTAGTAATAGCAACGAGAAATATGGATATTTATTGTAGACGTTTAAATTTGGAAGACTTTGATTCAGTACGAGACTTTGTCCTCAAACTTGACACAGGTAAGACTAATAAATTAAGAAATTATTTTTCATTTTTTAATATATTCGTCTTTTTTCTATAATTAATTTGTAAAAAATAACCAGGGTTTCATTACTATTTCAACCAAGAAATAGAAATTCTGGAAGTTTATTTTAAAAAATAGCTTTTCTTGAGCATTTCATGAATTATCTCATAATTTTCAAAAAATAATAACCGAAATAGTTTAAAAGAAAACAATAAAAAAGAATAAAATATTACTCCAACTCATGAGGTTTTTATTTTTCAAGGCATTAATGCTTTTTTAATTTTGAAGTTGCTGAACGACAATCTTTTTGTTAGAATGATTTGTTCTGTTAGGTAAAGGCAAAATCGAGAAAATCGATGGTATAATGTACAGTGCTGCTACTGCAGAATCTACTCGGCAAACGAATAAGGTTAATGATGTCATGGAAAAAAATTCTTTTCAGAATTATTTTTCTTTAATTTTTCAACAACTTTCATTTCACTTAGAATTTAAATTTTCGTCAACAATTTAAAGATTGCAATGATAATTGATACCGCATTTTATTGAAAATAATAAATAATTTACGTTATAGTTAAATAATTCCTATTCTACTGTAAAATAAATAAAACGGTTAGGCGATTGCAACAGTGAGCTTTTTCAAAGACTTATTTTTGGTGCCAGTGTCTTCCATAGAGACATGCTGCTGTAGTTATATACTGCACTGATTCATCACGATTTTCATTACTTGTAAATACTGCATATTACATTTTTTACAGCACCACATTGAGCGTACATTTGCAACGAATCATTTGGGACCATTTTTATTAACATCATTATTGTATGATCGATTGAGGAAGCAGTCAAGTCCGGTTCGCCTCGTGTTTTTGAATACTTCGGATTTGAAATTGTATCTATTTCGTTTTTCAAAATTTTAATTTATTTGATATTTTATTGGACATTTTCTATAAAGGAATTCTGCTTTCCTATACAACTCAGCATCTCTTACAGAAGTGAGTTAAATTTTGATGACTTAAATTCAACAGACTTAACGAAGTGGCAAAAATCTCCCGAGAAAGCGAAGAAAGATGCTTATGATCAAAGTAAACTTGCTTTGACTCTTTTTGTGAAGTCACTTTCAAGAAAGGTCAAAGGTTGGTTTTATCAAGGAAGCTAAACTTACTAACAGTTCTTACTTTTCTTGGAATTGGAAATTATGTTTTCTGCTGTTTTCTATCCTATTTGTAACCGAGAAGTGGTTGTCACTTTGTAGAGTTAGAGTGAGGAATAAAACAAAATTAGGTGTTACTATTATTTTTGAGTCATCTGAGAAAATTTATCATTTATTTGTTGCATTCATAAATGATACCGTTAATTATTTCACTCCAGATACGAATTTACGAGTTACGATGGTTGACCCAGGTGTTACGAAAACCAATCTGTTTTATCATTTGGAAGCAGCCGATAACCGAATATTTTTTGTACGATGGTATAAGTCTCTAAAAAGGTGGTTTCTTGTGGGTTTATTTACGAATTTGAAATAAATTTGAAAGAGTCATTTTAGTTATTTGATCACTCTTCAAGAAAAATTGGGATTTTACAGATGGGTTTATGGACTCGTTGCTGCACAGTCGATAAGCGATGCCACTCGTCCCGTATTATATGCACTTGCAGACAAAAAGATGGAGGGCGTGAACGGAATTTTCATCAAGTTAGTTTTTCATATTAAGTTTCAAAACCTTGAAGTGTACTTAACCATGGCATATTAGTGATGTCCTTGCATTTTGAGGCCGACTTCGTTAAAATTAGGAAATTAGGAAGCGTACGTATAGTTATAGACGAACATACCGACATACTCTCCATCGGGAGTCTGGTTTTTCTTTTTCCATAATCTTCTTTATGCAAAAAGATAAATTATAGCTCAGTTAGAACCGAACTGCCATGGCACGAGCTAGCATCGGATGAGAAAGTTCTCAATAAGCTATGGTTAACAAGTGCTAAATGGACAGAAACGGGTTTTCATCTACAGCGTCTTCAACAAGACTTAAAGAAACCAAAATCTCAGGAAACAGGTGCAAAACAAGAGCTAAAAGCTGGAACGGGTTGGTTTTCGTGGCTTTGATGAGGACTCCTCAAAAGTTTTTCTAGCTTTAAGAGGAAAATATCGATATGAGATGTATTAAGATGATGAACTGAAGCAGGCAACTAAATACTATATGATTTATGAATTCATGATTCTCTTTTATATTTTTCGATAGGATATGAATCGATTGTTATATATTGTTATTTACTCGTTGTCGTACTTATGAATAAACTTTTTGTAAAATTTTTTTACTACCTCTTACAGAGGGAATTAACCTGGGCTGAATTCCTTAGAAAGGGAAATGAGAGGAGTATACCCTGATATTTGCTTCTTAATTGTGACTGTCGTACAAAAAAGGAGATCGAAAAATGAAATAATGAAAAAGAAGAAGTTAGTCAGCAGATTACTAAGGACTATGCTTTTTCTGAAATTAATTTGTTGACTTAATCTGATATAAACGATCGTTTACTTTTTTAATCTTTATAACTTAAGACTTCCTTTTTTTCATCCTCCAAAACCTCCATTAAATGATATTCATCCTCCAAATCCTCCATTAAATGATATTCATCTGGCTTATCCGATTATGCTAAGTAATTTTTAAATTCGGAAACTTTTTATAAGAAACAAAAAAAGAATGTTGTAGGATGAAAAGTAAGTCACAGTTGATACCATGTCATTTTAATCGATAAAAAAGGCTGCTGGATCCAATGTGGTGTTCCATGGATTGTTATTTCAATTTCATTTAGAAAAAGTGATTTTTACCGAGGTGTAGCAGAAGCAAATTAATCATTCGATCAATTTAAAATCAATTTGTTAACAGAAATAAAGGTATGCACCAAAATGCTTAATCCATTAAAATGACAAAAAAGATGACATTCTGTGACGATGACAGAATGGATGGGATGAAGGGAGCGAGTAGTTGAGGGTGGTTGCTAATGCATTCAGCGTTGCGAGGGCTAGTTGTGCGATGTTGTTCCAATCTACCAATGATCTATTTTGGCTGATGTGATAAATAATGATTAAATAGTGTTGATGATGAATGATGGTTTACTCTTTCTTCTTTACATCTACAAATGGAACATCTTTTAGTAGCCTAAATTACTTTAATTTAATTAATTGCTCATTATTCAAATTTATTGATATAGAATTGTTTTAGACATAACAATGTTAATATATATGTTGTACAAAATTTTTAGCTCGCCAATAATTTTGACATGCTATATTACCTGTGTTATATTTTAAATTACAATTACCATTTATAGAATAGTTACCATTACAGAATATGGTATCATAAATAAGTTAGAAGTTTTTTTTTTTTTCAAGTAAATGCTTAAACGTGCTAAAAATATAGAAATTTTATGTAGCTGACGAAATCTTAAAATTGATAAAAATATGTTTCATCAAAATATCTCTGAGATTATACTGAATTTATGTATTTTTTTTTTGCTACACGTTTATTTGCTACACGATCTTATGTATGTAGGGAAATCATTCTTTAATTTGTTAGCCTTTCAACATTCGATTGTATCAATTTAAATAGGTATAATTATGATAATCTTCAGTTATTACGCTAAGAATAATTTCTCTAAAATGAATAAAGTGTGGAATAGTAGTGAAAAAAAAATTCAAATAATTGCTCTAGGCATTGTTGATGTCATGAATATCGTCGTTTTTATAAGCAGTCTTTTTTTTGACGTGAAGCAAGTATGAATTAAGAGTTGTGTTCACAAGCCGTTTTCTTATCCTATGTTTTAAACCATTTAAAGTTGATATTTTTTCTTCTTACAAAGTTCCTGATAACTTAGAAACATGAAAAATTTGTTACTCTAAGAAATATGCATTGAATTTTTTGCTTGGCTAAGCTTATTACAAGTTCACATATATTTGCTACATTTCATAGCGAAAAATTCACTTTTTACAGTTCTTACCTTCAGCAAGCAATAGAACCCCAATTCATGTTGCGACGTGTCATTTCTGTGTACAGTCGTAGGCTACTGAATCAGGTTTGATTTTCATCTCTTTATTATCATCTGATCTGATTTATGGTTTCAAAAAAGACACTTAGAAGGATGATATGGACTATTTGGTTACAACATTTCTCAGACAGTTATATACTGAATCTTAACATAATGGTATATCAACTTCCAAGAACATTTAATCTCTTCCGTTTTATGATCTTGCTGTCTTAGATTTTAATGGTTTTGAATACATACAGATTAGAAAAAGGTAAAAAAGCACGACGAATGTGTTACATGAGAATGATAGTTCTTTGTTTTCAAAAAAACAATCGCGGCGTCAAAAAAAGAAATTCATTAAAATTTTTAACAATTATGTTGCATTCTCTTATTTATTTTAGATGCAAACGATAACCACTTTTTTTTGTTAATATATTTTTCTGCTTTTTTTCGTATTTTAGAAGTGAAGATCTTCCTTCCGCTTATTCATTGCTTCTTTCACATTTCATTTCCATAGCGGATGAAACAAATCAAATTAGAGTCGCCAACCCATAACAGATTTGACTGTTATGTACTGATCTACGTCACACACTTGAATTGTACTGAGCAGGAAAAAACCTGTCGCAGATCTGACTGTTACACACTGACGATGAAGAAAACCGGAGAGAGAAAGCGATTGGTTTGAACGATTGTTATAGTGTTTTCAGCCAAGTGGTAAAAGGTTACTACTGCTCAACAATCTACGTACGCAATGCCAAGGATATTTTACTGTTCCACAGTTACTAATGCAACGAAACTGGTCGTTTTATTACTTTGATGGTGTTGGACGATTGCATACGAGCCAGTCATGTTGTTCGTTTTTGCAAATTTTTAAAAAGATTAGTAACGATGATTATTGGAAGCAAAACTGATAGCATATCTTCTGTTGTGCATTCTTCAAGATTTTTATAAATTTGGTATTTAAATTAATCAGTTGGATTCCAGGCGCTGATATCATAGAAGTGGAAGGACCTGCTTTCGCGGAATCGATTTCTGAAGGGGATATAAGATGGTTGAAACGTCAATTTTCAAATAATCAATTTGATTTTTTTTTCTTATTGATCGATCTATTTCTGTTTTGCCACTTTCTCATGTAGTGGAATGTCACGAGTTGTAACTTGTTACACCCTTAAATAGTTACCAATTTTGAAATAATTTTTAAAATGTGACTCATTTCAGAAAAAGGTGACTTTATCAATCGAGATGACTTGGTTGCTGAAATAGAGACTGATAAGGTTAACTCTTCTTTTTCGGGTTATTTTTATCCGAAATACAAATATGTTGCTGCAATTAGGCAATGAGTTATTACTGTGAAGTATTCGACATTTTTTAGACAACCGTAGAAGTGCCAGCCCCACAGTCAGGAACAATAGTTGAACTTCTAATAGAGGATGGTGGTCGAGTAACTGCCCATCAGAAGCTGTATAAACTAGAAGTTGGAGGAGGTAAGCTATAATTCATTTGTAGGTTGCGTTCTCTGAAACACTGTTTTCTATTACTGCGATAGCTTTCTTGAGATCTAGGCTCAATATTCTTCCTTTAAAAGTTGATAATATTTTAAATTTCGCCAACCCTATAGAGTTGCAATTATGAACTTTTACGTTTAAAAATTGTTATATGTACATTAATTATGAGATATTTCTATAAGGTTATCACGACTACGGGATAGTTATATTTTCAGAAGTATCTGCTAGGAGTGCAGACGAGACAACGAAACCAGTGGAACAAAAAAGTACTCCTTCACCACCACCAAAGTCAGAATCGATGCAAACATCAGAAGCACCACCTAGTCTAGGAAGTGAGAAGCTACATTTAAATGTTTCCAGCTTGATCTGTTTTGAATTTATAGAATTACCATGATTCGAGAAGAAATTTCAAAAACATGTGAGTTAGATTTCAGATTTCAGATTGATATCCAAGATTTGTTTTAGAAAAGCCAGTTGATCCCCCATCTCCAGCGAAAATTGCAACTTCACCGCTTCCATCGTTTTCTCAACCTAAACCGGAATCTTCTACGGAGAAAATTCCATCAATCACCAATCAAAGTCTCTTTACCGGTTCAAGAAATGAAACGCGTGTGAAAATGAACCGAATGCGTTTAAGAATAGCACAACGATTAAAGGATGCTCAGAATACTTATGCTATGCTTACCACCTTCAATGAAGTAGACATGAGGTGTTCTTGCTTTTTATGTTTTGTTCATTTATTTTTTGAAGTATTTTCTAAACAGTTTCTTGTTAGACAATTTAGCGATGTGTAATAATCTGGATTAAAAATTTATCTGTGAATAATGAAAAAGATTAAAGAATTAAATTATTTGAAAAGTTTCCATTTATGCATGCTTAATTGGGCTGAATCATCTTAAGCAATTACAAGCTGCGAATAATTGGTTAAATTAGACTTGAAAAGTTTTTTAAATTAGCGAAAGATGGACTTTCAGCAATGTATTGGAAATGAGAAAACGCTATCAGAAAGATTTCATCGCAAAATATGGCATTAAAATCGGACTAATGTCACCATTTATTCGAGCATCTGCTTATGCGCTACAGGAATTTCCGACCGTTAACGCTGGTTAGTTTTTTGTATTTGATGTTCTGTAGACTCTTATTAGATGAGTTAGTTTTATATTAAGATTTAAAATTCGATCTGATTGTATGCTTTGTTCGTACTTAATCGTACCAATATTCTTTTCCGTAAATCTGGTGTGCGAACTTTTGGTATCTTCTTCATATTATGAATTTTTCGCTACCATCTGTATTTATAGATGCAAATGAAAATTTCGGTCAACTGAACCGGTTAGTAATTATGCAAATCTTGGTAAAGTGATTGGTAGAAAAAAGTGACAATTTTATTTTAGTGATCGATGAAGGTGAGATACTATATCGACACTATATTGATGTGTCAGTTGCAGTCGCTACACCAAAGGGTCTGGTAGTGCCGGTACTGCGTAATGTTGAAACAATGGATTATGCAGCCATTGAGAAGACACTGAATGAATATGCAATTAAAGTATTTTCCTGTTTTTTAATAGTCTTTTGGTATTTTAAAATATATAATTTTTTTACCTCCCTTATATAACTCTTTTACCTGACTTTAATAGAAAATGAGAGGGGAAGATTGGAAAAGAATTTAATGTTTCTGTAATTTATCATACATTGATCAACGTGAACTTTGACTGGTTAAGGGTGATATGTATATATTTTTTGCTTCAGATGGAACCAGAATTTAAAGCAAGAATAAGAATCTTAGATTTTAAAGAAGTAGAAAAGTAGGATGATGATAGGAAAAACTGAATTTTGGCTTCATAATAAACATTTTTAAAGTATAATTCATGAGTAGTTTTCCGAATCTAATGTTTGATTTTATGCTCGAGACGGTAAACTTGCAATCGAAGATATGGAAGGTGGAACATTCACAATCAGTAATGGTGGCGTTTTTGGTTCAGTATCTGGAACACCAATCATCAATCCACCACAATCATCAATTCTCGGAATGCATGGTGTCTTTGACCGACCGGTGGCAGTAGATGGAAAAGTTGAAATACGCCCTATGATGACCATAGCGCTGACATACGATCATAGGTAATGGTTCCCTTATTTCCAAAGTTATTTTCTGATAATATCTCATTTAATATAAAGTGAAATGTCTTTGGTTCGGCGCAATATAGATTATCCTTGTAAACATTTCATTTATATTTCACTTATTTTAGGTTAATTGATGGTCGCGAAGCAGTTACTTTCTTGAGAAAGATTAAAACTTCAGTTGAAGATCCACGAACCATTTTGCTAAATTTGTAGAAACTTTGGCTAATCTATATGTTTTAATTATTAAACTCAGGATTTCTTGTTTAAAATGTATGAAGTATATAGTTTTAGATTTGATTAGGCTCTACTATGCAACTGGCCGTAACATCTTATCTTTTCTCTCTTTGCATTATTTATAACATTCAATATTATTTTTTGGATTGAATGTGTCGGAAGCCTTAAAATCGGGAAACATTCTAGTACCTTTTTAGCATCTAAACTTCTTTAGGGTACAGCTAATTTAGAGTGTTGAAGTTTCCAACAATGTCCAAAAATCTGCACTAAATTCACTTGAATTTTGGTAAGATTAAACCGCGATTATTATTTAATTTACATGCTTTGAAACGAAGTAGATTTTGCTGTATACTGTGATTTCAGCTCTCTGCCATTGTTTTAAATCACTTTATTTTAAAGTGACATTTAAGTACTGCTAACGATTTATTATCTCAGTTTCATACTGATTGGAATTGGCATCCTAATTATAAATAATCACTTTATTAAATAATGTACAGAATTTCATCATTATATTTCAGAAGCTTGTAATCACAAAACTTCATGATATGAAGCTGGCTAATAAGTCGTTAATATTAATGAAATATTACCTACGGTTATGTCGTTCTTTATTTCCTGATTAGTTGCTTTTTCTCATGATTATAATTATTTGGAAAATTTTGTATGGGAATTCTATGCTTTACGTCGATATTGGTTTCAAAAATCTTGTCAAAGAAATTGTAAAGCATCCAGTTCACGTTCATTTTTCAGATGGTAAATTGTATCTATTTTTTTCAAAAAAGGTTTTTTGAAAAACCGTGTTGATATACGAGTCAGTTAACTTATTTGAAATAAACAAAATAGAATAAATGTAAAAAACATGACCAAGACAAGCTATAATTTTGGGTATGTTTCCCGCCTTTTTTTTGCCATGATTTCGATGAAGTGAACTTTCAAACTGATAATACTTATAGCATGTAAAAAAAAAAAAAATCAATTGATGGTGCTAGGCTCATACTGCAGTATATGATAAAGTTTTGAACCACGGATATTTTGATTTGAAGCTATAACGAGAAACTTGTAGGGGTGGGACAATACACATAACTTTTATGGTTTCGTCTGCTCTTAAATAATTCTCCATTTCCTTAGTTCCGCTCATTTCAGCATAAAGAACAACTGCTATGATTGGTAATTATGCTCATGGATTTGGAATCTGTTACAAGAAGTCCTTTTTGTTCCTTCAACAAGTCACCGGAGATTACCTTTGCTAGTTTTTTAAGCTTATCTTAGTAGATGGCTATTGGTGTGGACCATAAGTTGAGCATTATACAGTCATTCGTTTTTCTGGATGTAGAGGCCAATGGGCTTTTCCCAATCGATGCAATGAATCCATTGGATGATCCACCGATTCCAGGCAGTGAAAGAGATTTGTCTCAAATATTACGCAACCATATCAGGCTTAGTAAATTTATATTTTATTTGTACTGATTAAATAAATTTATATTTTATTTGTACGGATTTAATTGGTCAGTACAAACAAAATATAAATTTGTTTAATTTTGTTTTAGAATTAGTCAGATTTTTTGGAATCAATTAGATTAGAACTCATCTGGTTTGAGTCACGTCCTAAAAATTCCTGAACATTATATAAAGTGGAGCCTTACCTACTTATGTTTTTTTTCTGTTCTTTCAGTATATAGTGAGCAATTTTATCTGTTTTATGGTTTCAGCTAGTTCCAGTCAAGCCCCTCATATGATGGAAATCAGCCTTATTTCGGCTACGAGAAAAGCAGTTTTATCTGGGATTCGAAAAATGGATCAGTTGCTGAACAATGACGCGGATGATATGTCACGTTTTGGGTTACGTTCGAGGTCCAGTAGTTTCCGAATTCCGTGCAATATCTACTGCGCACAGGTTTTGTTCTTCATGTTGAACATTCATTTTAATTTAAAATCATTAGCTTCTTAGGTATACATACTGTTTTTATAATTAGTAGTATAATTTCTTTTGATATGTTTGGTAAATAGATTAGGAATATTGTAATTGTTTGGAAGTATTACAATCGATGTAAAGTAATATTTAATGAATTGAAAGTAAAAGTTATATTTCAGTTAAATTATATTCTTGTTGTGTTTTTCAGGTAAAGCCTAAAATGAGTCAGCGAGAGTGGGCAGAATATGAAAAAGGAAGACTTCGGTATAGCGGTAATTTACGTACTCTCAAACTTTTTTTCAACATGCTTTGTGTAGAATGATGTTATCACCCGTCATAAAATCGATGATACTATTTTCAGTTCATTTTTTTTAGTTTTTGTTTACTCTCAAGAAGACTTAGAAGACAAAAACGACTTTGCTACGGAATGGAAAGGAGTGAAACTTTTTCTGGAACAAATGCGGAAGCCAGTTTGCATAATTGCTCACAATGGACTAAGGTTTTATCTCTTCTCTGCCCTTCTGCTAACACTTCTGTAATATGTTATGCATTTGTTTGCTACTTAAATCAAGGAATTAATTTTTGTCAATTTTTAAGGTTTGATTTTCGTTTACTGCATGCAGAATTTGAACGAAATGGTCTTCTGAATGCTAACCCTATTCCTGATCAGGTGTAATTTTTTTTGCAAATTTTGAACGCTATTTATTTATTGAAATGTTATTTCTGTGGTATAAAATATAGGGTTGAAAAATCGACTTCAAATTCCTTTGATTTCACTTCACTGAGCGAACACTTTTTTTAGGTTTATTTTGTAGATTCCTATCTCATGTTTCTGGATCTGGAAAAAAAGTTACATGACGAACTGAGGACTGCCGTGCAGTTATTAGATTGGAGTCGCTGTATGTCATCTAATATTCTTTTGTTTTAACATTTTTGCAACACGAAACTAATTGTAATGACAAACAAATTGGAACAAAAGAAGAGTTTATTTCTTAAAGTGGTCTACCTTTACTTCCAGCGATATTATGATTATGCAACATACCAAATAAATTTTATATTCCAGTGTCGACACAAATAAAAAATGAAAGTCTACCACTGTCACCACAGGAAATGTCATCGTGTTTAGTATGCGCAAGTTCGCAAGCTCATACGGACATTGTTTCTAAACGATTAGGCTCACCTGCAGTACAGAACATTTCTTCAGTGACACCTAAAAGTGATATCCCAACTATTACTAAAGAATCACAGGACACTACATTTGTTGTTCCTGTTGAGTGTACAATTAGAAGCGAATCGAAAAGGTTTGCTTAATTAATTGAATTTGTCAAAAACTTGCGAATTAATTGACGTTGATTTAACTTTTCTAATTTCTATTCCTATACCATATCTTTAGATGATCTGTTTTTAATTTGACATATTTCGATCAAGAATATTGTACTGTCTTCATCAAATTGTAGACAGTACTTAGTGGTAATATAATGGATGGAATTAGTAGTTTCTAAATTACACATGATCACTTCAATATTAGTATGATTGCATGCAGGCCTGCTAGAAGGCAGCTTTTTACTCAAACATCGGACGATCATCCATTAAATTTTATCCGTATGACGAAATGGTCACCAGCTAAGAAGAAACGTGTTCGACCGAATCTTTTTAAGTAAGTTATCTTTGTCATTTAGGACACATGCATGCCGAAGTGTTTGACTATGGTTTATAAGTTTTATTGATTTTTAATTGCCGATAGAGAATGCTGAAAATTGAAGATCTTGGTCAGCTTACTTTCCAACATAAATCTATCGAATTTACGAAAGATTAAGACCTATTGTTCTCATATCAAAATTAGTGTTTTCGTATAGGCTTAGTTTGACTTACTTTTAGACGTTCCGGTGAAGGTGACTGGGTGTTCAACAATCATTTTTCGGTTGCATATTTCCATGAAAAAGGTGCCTTCAAATTGGAATCCATGTATAAGCAGGTTATTTCATTATTAAAATCATTGTAATTCTTTGAATTATGAAGATTTTCTGAAGCACTCGAATTTCCATTGATATGTGTAGCAATATTGATACATACATTGATATATGATAAAATTTGTACATCACATATTATTCTGTACCACCTCGGACAAAAATATAGATTAAACTCTTTCTTTTTACCAACTGACTGGTCTATCGGTAGGTCCCATTGTTTGTTTCAACTATCTTATAGCATGATATTGTATTTGTTAATTTTCAAGCTTTCAGGAATATTTTAATCCAGCTATTATTAGAGTAGTGAAATGGATTTGAAATGAGATGAAAGATGATGTTTTCTAGGAAAAAAATTTCTCTTCTAATAATATTATTTTGAATATAATTGAGAATTTGATTTTCATGTTTTTTCAGTTATTAAGTGACGATTATGATGCTCATTTTGCTAGAAATGATTGTGAAGCTTTGTTGAAAATTTGCGTAGCATATGGAGAAGAATTTGTGGAATATGTGGACACGCATGCTGTTAAATTTCCATTTTAAGAAGAAGCGTGATATACAGGAAGTTAGCAGTCATATTTTTCTCATCATGACTAATTTATTTCATATATTTGAGTTCATATCAAGGAATGTGGAAGATGCATTGAGTGTTGAGGACTGCGAATACATCCTGTATCGTTTGATTTAATTAATCTGCGTTTGGTTTAAGATTTGAACCTTGTATCTCTTCTGTTTTACGATGACTATTTCAATTTCTTTTCTAACTCCTCATTTCTTAAAGAAAGTTAAATTTCCGACAAAAATCCCACTGCTTGCTTTGTAGAAGAATTTTTGTTTGTTAACACATAAGTTTGCAGTAACGTAAAAAACTGTGCACTATTCTTTTCACAAATCATATTGTACATACTTGCAAATTTCTCTTTTTTTTCCATTTCTTATTTTGATGATTTTTTTATTTGTAACTGATAACTACACTTCAAAATTGCTTATTGATTTCATTGTCAAGATTAATTTTTCATCTCGTTTTATATTTAATTGTCTGCATTGGGATTAAATCCAAACAAAACATTTTTTTCTTTTCCAAGATTGATATTATAAAGTAATTATTCCAAAGACAATAAATCGAAAGAAATATATCAGCCTATGCAGACATCATGCTATTGTTGAAGGTGATATGTAATTAATTATTCACAGAATGACTGTTGTAAGGCAACTTGTACCATGTAAAGGAAATCTGTGATATGAAAGATTCTCGGTTACAGTAACAATTAGTGAAATGCTGCATATCTGTTAAAAATACCATAGTCAGAGTACATCGTGAAAAGGCAAATATATATCAAATGACAAATGATTATCAATACTTTGCCAGGTGCTGATAAGTCTTATCGACAAGCAATTTTATTTTACTTGATAGGATTAAAAAATTTTTCATTGTTAGAGAAATCACAGATTATCCTAATTGGATATCTCTTTATCAATCAAACGAGAAGAGATGCGATTTCAAAATATTCAATTCATTAAAATACAGGTACTAGTTTTATCATAAATGAGTAGAAGTGATAGGGATGATAAAGGCTGATTGATGTATGGTTGATGTGAAAAAATTAGATGTACGAAAGATAAAACTGGGCATTCATTTCCTATTACTCTCTCACTTATTGAAATTTGTCCAATGTTAATGCTGAAACTATCCGTAATTATCCTCATCAAAGTACATCATTACTTTTTCTCAATTTTATCATTAGCAATTATTGATTGTAATATTGCTATATTGAATGATAAAACTAAAACATAATACTTCCAATTTTATCTCTTCTTGCTACAACTGTCTGTGGTTTATTTTTTTTATCTTTCCTAAATTTTTAAATGTCATAGCAGTTTAATATTTCTTCTCCTTTCATTATTTAATCCATTGATGAGCTTTCCTAATTATATGTTTATTCATCCATCCTTCTATATTCGTTTTAGATGATATGATTGATATGGTATGAGTTTATCAATGCGAAGTGATGTATATCTTTTGCCGGTTGATTGGTCACTCAAGGCCGAGGAATGACATTTCTAAAGTATATTTCTTCATTCGTTACATGCATTGATAATGAAAGGTTTACTCAAATGGATAGATTTTTATTAAATTTTATTTCAACTGTTATTGATGTATGTGTTTGAATGCTTTTTTTTCTATTTCAATTTCTTTAGATAGCTTAGTGAAATTTTATTAAATGACACTGTGGATAAGTGATGGTGTGGCCAAAGAAAAATGCTGATATTGTGAATAAAAAAGGAAAAAAAGGGAGAGGTGAAAGAACAAAAGGATGGACATTTCCCGAAATATTTAAAAAGGACAGGATTGTGAATTAAGTACAAGAATAGAGTGGACTTCCTCCGTTCAGTTTTACATTTTTACCTAACTTTTTCTTTTAATAGAGAGATTTTTTATTCTGAAAAAATTACCGTGGATTCTTGTATTATTACTAATTATTATTCTATTCTATTAAATCATATGCTTCAAATTAATGTTTAATAATCGTATTTCTATGTACATATTAAATCGGTATCAGATGCTTCAAAAAAAGTAATAATCCTATAGATGGATAATAATCGTACGAAATTATGAAACCTCAACTTTTTCAGCTAAGAATTTGACACTACAATCATTATATTTCTTTTATTTATAGTTATTTCTAATTTAAAAAGGAAAAAATTTCAAAAGATTTAAAATTTGAAATTATGAACTGATAGGATGAAATAATCTATTCTAATTGGTTTTGAAATTAATTGTTTCTCATTATCAATTAAATGTTTCTCATTCCACTTTAGCTTAAAGCATAGACTATGCTTGCAAGTTTAATTCAATTTATCATAGCAACAGCTCAACAATGCATATCTGTCGTTTTATCAATTACTTACACTCTGGGTGCTTTTTTCCTTCAAATCATGTCATTTTTTTTCTGGTTGCTAATGATCTAATGTTATTCTTATCCTATCCTTTTAGCAGTTAACGTGATAAGCGTCTTACTTTCCCAGAAGATTTGATTGTCTTGAGAAAGCTTATGCAATTATTTTATATTTTAGATGGCATATCACAATGAGAATGTGCAACCGGAATTATTTCAATCGATAAAGGTATGCATACGAAATGTTGAAAATGCTATATTTGCTTATCTTCAAGTTTCAAAATTTCCCGACTAATTTTTGTCTCAATGCTTTTTTCTTCAAATACCGTATCACTTTCCGCGATACGTTTTGTTGCATACAGGTTGCACGCGAATGCAAAAGTAATGAACAATGACGTGATAGCTGAATTTTTCTGATTATCGTGCGTTACTGGGAGTACAATATTATGGTATATTAAGGGGTCTAAAACAATTTTCAAAACATCAAGAGTCAGACTTGCCAGTTTTAAGTTAAACTTATCATTGCTTTTGCAAACAGTCTATCTTCCAACCTTGTTATTGTCTTATAATGAATGCTACTTTTCTCATATTAAACAGCTGAAATATTCCTTTCTTTTTATTTTCAGACAGCAGTTGTTGTGCAAAAACTTGAAGATGATGAAGTAACAGAGGAAATGCAAGAATCTTCCGACAGTGAAAGCGAAATTGAACCATCCGTATATGAAAGGCGAAGGGAGTTAAATGCCTGGCGAACTGTGTTAGCTGAAAAACTTTTTATCGAAACCAAAAAGAAGCTTTATGCTGAGAAACTAAAGCAGGTAATTTTTTCAGCATTTATCGCTTTCTCATTTGCTAAATGAAGCTTGTAGACTCTAGGTATAAATTTCATGCATGGACTATGGATACGGGCCTTGATAAATTTGTCATCGGATGGATTTTGTGGATATAATTTATGACTTGGCATAGATCAAGTTTTTGCATGCAGATTTAGTAATACGGAAATTATTTGTCATGGCAAAATTTGATTTTGCTAAGTGCTGTCCAAAATTTTTTATTAATAAATGTAACACAATTTACTGTTTTTATTTGTTATAGCTGGAAAAAAGACAAGCTGAAGTCTTGAGCCAGGAAGCAGCAGATTTTATCAAGAAAAAGGAAGAAATTCTTAAGGAATATCATGATAGACTGCAGGTAAAATACTTTGTAGCTTTGCGGATTTTCCAATCTAATATTGCTGAATGAAGGAAAGAGGCATTGCATTTTTAGCCTATTTTCCTTTTTTTGATTCTCTTTTGTAGTAAAATACAGCGTAGAGTCTTGTGGACAATGTGACTCATATTTCCACTCTTCTCGCTATGAGGAATATAATTCACTAACACCGTAAGGCAGATAAGAAGGTAACAAGAATGTTGATACTAGAAGCTAATGGATTTTTTAGATTCTTAGTTAGACATAACTTTATCAAAATAAATGAACGTTTCTATTTTATTTCAAGCGTAGTACATGGGCTACTCGATTAGTTTCAACACACTTCTGATTTGGATACAAACACATTTCAGTACATTGAAGTTATTCGAGCGTTACGGACCGAATCACTGAAAAGACGTACCATCGGTCAGTTGGAGTGTGCCCAGCAGAATTTGAATAACAATAAACAGATGGCTTATGAAAAGATCGAGACAGATATTTGGAAAATGATACAAAAGCTAGATGATGATATGAAAAGATGCACAAAAGAGTATGTAAATTTTTGTCGAGGTATTGTTTTTTTCCTACCTTTCTATTTTTTTAATAATATTCTAGAAGCAGATGTCCTTTCACAGAATTGAAACATTGTGAAGGACAATAAATGAAAAGTATAGGAGTGAAGGAACAGGGAGGAGATGGCATATGTCTTCAAACATATATCATTTCACAAAAGAAACCAGTCGATACGTTGATATTTTTTACACGCTGTTACAGTTATTTTAATTATTTCAGAAGTCGAACGAAATAAAGAACGGGAATGGAGGAAACGAAAGCGTTATCCAGTGGCTACTGTAATTGAACGATTATTGGGTGATGCGGTATCCTCGCTCATGGATTCATATAATGAAAATGTTGATGAGGATCTCTATGTTTGCGAACAAGCTCTAAGAGCTGTAAATGGACGAGAAAACTACCAATAGTTTTATCTTCATTTTCTCTATAGTGTGAAGTTTGTGCTTCTCGTTAATATTTCTCTATTTTAAAGCATTATAAAATTTCTCCTATTTCACCGATAAGGTCTAAGTTTTCTCCAGCATATAAAAGTTATAAGTACAGCAGAGATGGCTCACATGCAAAGGTAAAAGGTAATATCCTATCATTCCTTATTTGAAAAAAAATGTAAGATTTCAATGCATGTATATTAATATTCGTATCTTATTTAAAGCAATAAAAAGATGCTTAACTATATACAAGAAAGCTAATTAAGATAATGCGTTCAGTTAAAAAGAGAGAATGCCTTTTGCTTAACTGAAATGATGACAGTTCATAATCTGTGGAAACTCAATGATTTAATATCCACCAAGTTAGAAATTATGAATTAATTGTTCATTACATGAAATATTAACTTGTGACGGATGCTTTCATTAATATTTATCAATATTGCAGGCCGTTTTGCTGATCTGTACATTAGAAGAAATTGCACTTTTTGAATAGATGAACACAGTGAGACAGTAAGCTCAGTCCATGAATTTGAGGCCGCATCATATTTCGAAAACCAGGACTACTGCCTATTCCTCAGATAGTGTCAGTTATTGAAAACTTATTTATTATACTATCTAACATTTCCTCAGGGTTAATATAATTACTGGAAGTAATTATCAATATTAGGACATTATCTTTTTGTTCTTGTTAAATAGAGTTAAACTCATACTGTTGAACCATTTCTATTTCTTTAATTTGTTCGATTCATATTGATTATCTTTCACCATTATCAACTTGTTTTTGTTATGCCAAGTGAGACTGGTATTGAAATGGTAATAATTGTTTAACCATCGAGTTTTATTAGCTGGTGAGTAACGACTGTGGAAGATATATCAATTGATTTCACCGGTATTCTAAAAAAATATATAGAGATATATTCGTTAAGCAGCGGTGATTTTTCGACAAGCAATATATGTTATTGGAGATTCAATCCGGAAGTTTTACTTGTTTTTCTGTGTTCTACCAGGTTTTCTTTTGAATAGTGTTAAACTAATTACTGGATTGAAAAGAGTTTCATTTACCAAACAACTGTCACATGAAATATTGCCCTGTATGCGAATATATCAAGTAAGTACTGTTCTTTAGAAGTTGTAGGATACTGCTTTTAATTCTTATTGTGTTTGTACATTTTTTAAATGTTTATTATTTATAAGGATAGAAGATGACTCAGCGCAAACCTCTGTTTTTGAAGTCTCAGTTTTTTAATATTCAGAAAGTTCAGTGATTGGTTGTCTCTAATAATATTTGTACATCTCATTTGGGATGTTTGCCTCAAGTCAAAGCTCTTGATTAATTTCCTAATTATTCAACCTATTATTTCTTACCTCGATAATACATATTACTGAAGATTTTTTCATGATAGAGGAACTTTTTATCTCATTTTTTGTTTGTTCTGTATGTTGCTGTATGTAATGTGCATCAAAAAAGAGTATTGAACTTTTTTTTGTCATGAATGAAATAAAAGTATTTCATAGATCGATGATGTCTGTTTTCCTATTCATACTATATCAGCATTTGTCAGAAGCAAGATGTCGAAACAACTTATCTCCTTTTTCTTCTTTTGATATCAAGGAAAATTTATTAGTTTGATGAGGAAAACAATATTTATCATTAATTTTGATCTATGTTTTTTCAAAGTGACTATTATTATTTGGATTTGATCTGGCCGGTGAAACTGTATAATTTGTAGAGTGTAGGATTGCACTTTCTAGAAGTGCTTTTTGGAATGGTATTGCATTGGAGTATTAATCTCATTACGTATTTAATATTAAGTTTTCAATAGATTCAAAATATTTTCATTTGAAATAGCCATACTGTTGAATATACTTATGAAAATAAGGTTTTTAGGATGAGTGAAAAAGATGAGGTGCAGCCTAGCGATCTCCAAAAGTTGATTTCCGATGGTATGACTGCTGTTTGTGCAGAAAATAATGATGAAAGCTGCCAATCACCACCACTTCAACCTCCAGCAACAGCGATTGATATCACTAATGATTTTTTTATGGAATGTAAAAGTGAGTTTCAGGCATTTACTCCTTTTTTGTTTAGGGCAATCAATTTTTTAAATTTTATCAAGAAAGTCGAGTTGAGAGAATAGAGAAAAAAGAAGGAAGAAATATCCATTGAAGTGTTCAAAATCAATTTATAAGAGAAAGGGGGAAGTAAAGAAAGATTCAGTTTTGCTTCTCGCATATGGTTTAATTCGTTAAATTTTCTAACAGTAGTGAAGCATAGTAGCAGCATTTATTACCAATTCATTCACTTGAAATTTTCAGAATTAAATAATGGAGAACTGGTAATGGCTGATGATTTTCAACTTTCAGAGGCAATGAGTGCAATAGGTTGGTTTCACTTGTATGAACTTAGTCATTGCCACGTGATAGTTGAATTGTGAGTAATGTTGCAAAGCTTCTTACCGATCATTAAATTCCATGAGTTTTTTTCCCATTTTTGCTTTAAAACTATTAAAATTGCTAGGGATCTAATACATTCTAGATTTAAAGTGAGTTCTAACTGAATTTCTGCAAAAAAATTTTAACATATATAAAAGAAATTTTAGAACTTATGGATCCGAAGATGGACATTGGGATGAAACCTTTTGATCCGTCGATAGCGTTTGAGAGTTTAGTTGCAACTGGTCGCCTGAACATCACCAATATGGATGAGCGGGAAATGATAGCAACAATGGATGCTATGTTAGCTTCAATGATTTCGTGGCTTGAAGGGAATTCCATTGCACAAACGGTGAGCATTAGATCCTTCGGTAAGAAATACAATGGTGCGAAATTCTTTGCATTTTTTTTTACATGAAAATAGAGCCATAAATCATTACTGTAATGTTAGAGCTAATTTAGGATATCAAAATATTAGTTTAAACTTCATGTACTAAGACTATTTTATTACTCTGCTTTACCTTCATGACTAGAAGAGATTCACATTCACATTCCTTCAGAATATTTGCCCGCTTCTACTGTCTCTTTCTGAAATGATATATTTCAATGTATTGATGATATTTTACAGTTGCTGACATGTGTTTTCTTAAATCATATGGATTCGGTAACCGATTCTGTGCTATCAGCTTTTTCGTATGGTATTTTGGAACTTACAACAGTTTTTCGTCATATTATACAGATGGCGTCTGTTTATGAAGAAGTATACATTTCTCTACTTTTTTGAAATCTATACTGTGTTACGTTTCCTTCAGGATCGTTCCGTTAAAAGGACCTTTAATGGGGAACAAAAAGATAATATTACTCTTTTAGTTATTACAATTTTCAGGATTCATTCATAAAGATAGTTTCACCAGAACCTTACAAGCTGAAGGTAGCACAACAGTCTTTCATTTCTAGCAAAGCTAAATCTGTTCGCTGCAAGTACCTGGAATTAACTTGTTGATAATTAAAAATTCGAGCTCTAAGCACCACATACTTCTGGAATGAATCTAAAGAGTTTCTAAAAAAATTCATTTCCCGCGTTTATTCTTTTCTTTTACTTATTTAATAACTTTTGCTATCCTGGTCGCTGTTCTATGTAAAAGAAATGACTTTGTAGTGGTAAACATAATCTAACCACATAAATCACTAGTTTTAGCAGCGGTTTTGGTTTTTCTATCTTGAATATATGAATTTTATGTGAACCAAAATTAATTCAGGAGGATTTTAATGGATATGCAGTACAACTTGATCTGTTGCCGATACCGAAGTTGACGAGTTCACTGAAAGCAGCTGAAATTGATTTGCAAAGAAGGATAAAAGTAAGTTTATTTCATTGTTTTATAACGATCGCTGATTCGTGGGCTTTAGTAATTTGATTTTCAGTAAAGGAGGAAAAATATATAATTTATTTTTAAGCAGAAAAACAAAATTAGGTGATTCTAATAGCAATTCTTCATAGTAGGAGGGTGGAAATTAATGCATTTGCTGCTAACAACTTGTAATCGACATTAAAGCATTATTGACTGCTGAAAGAATGCTTTTTGTTGCAGCAAAAACCAGCTAATCAAGAATTACTAGATGCGGTGTTATATCGTATACAGTTCATTCGCCTTATACTTCTTTCACTCAGTTTATTGGTTCAGTCCCCTACGAATTCTTATACCCGATCAAATTCCCATAATTATTTCAGGTACGCCAAAGATTCTGGGAAATAGAATCTTTTCCTCACTATATAATAGCAGATAATATAATTAATGAAAAAGATATTCTATTTTGTTCGCTTATTTATCAGTTAGATTTCAATACATATACAGTTCTTTCTTTTGGGAAATTTACAGATTTCTTCATTGTTGCCGACGCTTTGATTTTGGGTTTTTATTTAGTAAAGAAATAGTAAATTGTAGGCCCAATTTGGAAGAATGTGCTTTACATTTGAACATTGTTTGTCTGTTATTGGATAAGATGGAATCAACTATGTCTTTGGGGTTACAACCACCGAAAAAGGATGATGGTATTTTATATATTACATCTAATTATTGAATTTTAATTTTTTCTTTGGAAATTTCACCTAAAACTTTAATGATATATCTCAAATTATAGTTGTTATATTTTTGAAATTCACAAAAATACTTATTTGTTCATTTTTAATCGCTTGTTTCATATTGTTGTTGCACACTAATTCATTTGTTAGTCAGATTTTCGGTAGTTTTAACATGAATTATTGAAAAATTAGTTTCAACATTTTCATTTCTTTAGAAGATTATGCATGGTTACCAGCATTCGAACCCGATATAAACAGAAGACAGTTGCCGCCAACATTTCCACGTAATACAAAGATGATAAATCGAACGGAAACTATGCGATATTTGAAAAAAATTTTTTCCAAAATTTCATCTATCACCACCGAATTGCCTGCAAAAGTTTCTAATATTGAAGACATAATTGTAATTTTTCTCTGCTTTGTTATGAAAACAAAGATTATTAAAGGGAATATAATTTGTAAGAGTTTTGCAATTTCATGTTTATTTAAAACCGCAAAACTCTCAGCATTATTCTTATCTCTTTGATCTACTTTTAAAAATATCGCTTTCGTCCTCTTTAGTTCCAAACTGAGATTGCAAACAATAAAAGAGCTTCTATCGTAGTGTTAAACTGTACATAAAAAACTCTTTAATCATGTTTTTGAAACAAAGAAGAATTGGAAGCTAGAGAAGTATATATGAAAGAGTCTGCAATTTTGTGGTTATCAGTTTTCAGGATTACTTGCGGACCTTTAGCTTAGCAGACAGCTGTGTTTTGTCTCGTTCGCTGCTACAGATGGTCCTATTTCCTAGTGATGACAATGTTTTGGGACGTGTGCAGCTCTCCACTATTATCGTTGATTCAATTCGCATGTTTGCTGCACCTCCAGTTCTTGACTCAATGTAACTTATCTTCCAAAATATTAGCATTCGTATTGTTTTTGATAAATTCCAAACTCTGCGGAGCTTTTTGGAGTAGATTTTCTGTTTTTTTTTTTTCAAACAAAAGGAGAGACTATTCTTTTTGACGTAGTTTAAAGTCAAAAATTTTTTTATGCTTATTTTTTGAGAATCATTACTATTGAAATACTTTTTGTGCATAAGTGATTCTTGATTTTGTTCCAGGAGTCAAGCTTTCAGCGCAGAACAGTGTCATGAATGCTGGGAAGAATTTGTCAATGATTCAGTGAGAGTTTTTCTTGGTGTAATTCAAATGTTTGGACTTAATCCAGCTAGACAACGCGAAAAAATTGTTTGTTGTATTGAAGATTTTTCGACGTTGCAAGCTGAGGTTTGTTTCTATTCTTTAGGACAATGTTTCAACCCATTTTGGTAACTGAGGTTGGAAAATTTGCAAGCCTATGGTTTTGATAAAGTGATAGTAACTGTTTTTATTTGATTCGGGAAGCCCAACTCAACTTGGCACAAAAGCAAGAAAAAAATCACTACTGTCCATTTAGAAAACCAAGAATTTCACATTTCTTTAAGCTATACTTGCTTCACAGCATTAGAAAACAGTTCACTAAGGAGTTAGTTGAACCTGTGTGAAGTCAAATTGCTTAAAATATTCGCATATGTGTGTTGTTTTAGGCTGAACGTGCAGAGAATGCATTTGATTTGTATTACTTCGGTCAGGAATCAGCGATAAATCTCTCATTGACGTCTTTCGTAATGTTGCATACCCTATCTCTCATAAAATATCATTTCTATCTGTCGTTTTACCTCGATCTCTTCGCCTCATTCGAATATTCATATGTTTATTGGTGAGTGCTCCTTTTAGTTTTTTCTCAATAATTGATCCTTTTGCAGTTGTACTTTTTCTTCAAATAAATCCCCAATTGGCAGCAGAATTGGATTTGAATGCAATGATCTGATTTCTTTCAGTTTCAACAATCATAAGTAGCGTAGGTTTTCTTTCGTTGGAGATAGAATAATTTTTCAGCTTTAGAATACGGTGAAAGGATTTGTTGCTTTTTGCTTATGTACTGGAAGTTAATGGAATTACTGGTACAAGCAGTCGTTAAAGTCGTTCCACTAATTTTAGTTTTTTTATATCAGTTGTTGAATCTTTATCTTTAATTTCAGAAAAACGAGATCTTTTACAGGTATTTAAGTGAAATTATCTTTAAATGGTTAGTGAATACATTGGATCGCTCTGTCACACTTATAGCTGCTGGTGAAAAAAGAAGTAAGCTTTTCTGGATTCTTTGGCAACTCTACATATTCGTACTGATTAAAAAATGTTCGCAAATGACGTTTGACAAAGTATATAACAGAATTCATACGAGTAATCGAGTGAAGGAACTGAATGTTTGTTTGAAATTTAAATTAACAAAATGGTGTTAAACAAAATAATTTTGCAGTGGCGAAAGTGCGGAAGAAAAGTGATCGCAAAAAATTATCAAAATGTAAAAAAGAAATTGAAATGAAGAAAAAAGCTGCAGAAAAGCAGCGATTCTTATTATTTTATCGAGCACAGGCTAAAGTAGCTGAAGCATTTTTCATGGTTAGCTATTTCTGTGAACTTAATTTCTAGGTTGAAAAAATCTTTTTTCGTCGTCGTTATAGTTACCTACTTATTCAGCATCTATATATTTCGTTGAAATATAACATCTTCGTATGTTTTAACAAAGATTGCTTTCTAATTTCTTCCTGTGTTCAGTTTGATTTGCTTCAGTATTTTGGAATATGTGCATAACATAGCTACTTCCAAAAAGGAAATATGTGGGCTTTCTAGTACGAGTTAATGCATAATTATTTCCATGCTAGCGAAAGATATAATGTTATAGGCAGCAGTTGCTTTAATAGCTACGGGTAAGATTCGAATGCCTTTATTGGATACGGAACAATCTCGTTTCGAGCATCGCATGTCACCGTTTTCGTCCCTCAACTCTGTTACTTTTCGCATAGCTCTTTTTGTCGAATACGCTCAATATATTCACATTTCAAGGTTATTTTTTTAAGCATAATTCCTAATGGCATGAAGTTTTTTCGAAATTAATGAAGTTTCGTAAGGATGAAATAACCTAACGATAAGATGAAATAAATAAAGGAGTTCAAGAGATAGATAGGATGAAATAGCATAAGGATAAAATTTTTAGAGAAAGTAAAACGAGTTCAGAAGTAAGGATAAACGAATCATCGAGTTGTAAAAGTGATCTCTACCTCATTTTCAGGAATTTTATTTTTAAGAAATTTATGTGTGCGTTCTGATTTCACTTCAAACTTATGAAATTTTTAAAGACAGGAAGGAAAATCTGTCTTGCTAAGATTTGAACCTTAGTTTATGGAACGATTTAAAAAGAATATCTTATTTCCAGTGTTCGGATGTAATTTCGACTGAACTTCAGGATAGAATCGTTGCGAGCGCTTGGCGGAGCTAAATGCTTCTCAATTGCAGCTGATGCATTTGACTGGGCTCGAGGTGAGTTGGAAAGTTTGAGTGGTAATGATGAGATCGCTCAGGAAGCTGCTGCTATTGCCCGAATATGTAAAAATAATGCTGTTGTTTCGCGGATAATCTCTTCAGGCAGCAAAAATGAGGTGAATTTCAAGACCATAATGACCACTAATAAATGGTCATTCTGTAATGTATTTAATTCACTGATTTAAATCATAATGGGATCCGTAGGAGAAAGAAAAAAAAGAATCATATTTACTTTATATAGCAGTATTTTTTCTTCCAAAATTTTCAATTCAAGACCTTAACCGATAACTTTAACAGGTTCACAATGCTTCCAACGAAAATGGCACTAGCTTTGAACTCTTAGCATGTCTTCTCAACTTGCTGATTACAGAACATTCTTTTATCCTAATCTGTATGGATATGGTAATAAGGATACTTTTTATCCCTTGGTTTTATACTTTTATTTTTTCAGTCTCGGATCGATTTTGTGTTCAATGGCGATTCATCGTACATGTATCCCTTGCTCAAAATTACTTGATCAAATACAGTAGCGGTAGATTTTTTTTTTTGTTTTTTGCATTAATATTGCTAGGCGTGTTATTTTTCCACGAAATATTAGTGTTCCTTAAGTCTGGTGACCACTGTTTTGTTATATTTGTTTTATGTTACTTTTTATGACAACGCAATTGTCGAGGCGTTAATTCTTCTTTTTCCATAGAACTTTGACTTTGTATGAAGTGAATGCTGTATTCAGGGTGTTCACATTAGAGTTAGCTCCGAAATTTAGTTTCGACAACAATGATATATTTATTACGGCTCATTTCTTGATGGTAACATATTTGTACATAAAATACAAATGTACATGAGCTTTGTGGGATTGATTACGGGTCACTAGGGTTATTTCATTTGATTCGTTAATAATTGAGTTTGGAATTAAGGATGAGAGTTTTACAGATTTCACTAGATTTCTCACATATATGAAAATTTTCTGTAGTATTCTTTTCTGTGCTACTGATATAGAAATTGCTATAGCATGCTGAATTGTAAAATGAGGTTCAGCATATCAGATAATATCGTATTTTGTAGAAATTGTTGCTCCTGTATGGAAATTTTTATTTTTTTTCGGTAAGCGAAATATGTCGCTTTCATAATTTCATTTGGAAAGCTTATTTAGTTGCATTTTTTCGCAATGTAATAAGCGGAAAGTTGAAAATTTCTCCATTAACTATTGCCGAATTTTTGTTATACTGTTTGTTTTTTTAACATTGATATGTCATTTTGCTCATTTATTCTAAGGCATAATTGCGCTAGACTAATTGTAGTCAGAAGTGTCTTAGTGAATCAGAAGTGTCTTGGGCACTTTTTTGGTAAAATTCATGAAATTTTTTAAACTATGATTCGGAATTAGTTGCAGTGATAATAATACTTTGTAATTTTTTATTTTGAATGTTTTAATATAATTAGTAGATGAAACTTATCAACTCTAGTTCTTTGCTTCATCAATTCAGAAATGGTATATTAATTCTGTGTGGAAAATTTCTTACCTGGAAGGGAAGCAAAGAATATTGTAAAGAGTGATGCGTGGTCCAGGTCTATTATGAAGTTCTTTCATATCTGTGCAATTATTTTCTTTTAGAAGTTACTTACATGGGATATTAAAATAAAAAATATTTTGGAGGCCGATTTTTTACTAACCGGCACAATGTTTATTGTCATTAGTGATGGTTGAATCACTGAAATCGTTAAAATTCTCTATCTTTTTCTTGCTGATTCTGAGAAGGAAAGATTGGAAATGTATGGATAGTCAATTATGCTAAAACTTTGTAATAATTTTTATTCGAAATGCTGAAGCATAGGATTTCTAAGCATTTATTTACGAATTTTGAGTAGTTTGATTAGAGTATCGGCGTAAGTATATCGACGGTTGTCCATAAGATCCCCGGAAGCGAGTTGCTATATTATTTGGTAGTTCTCAATAAAGTGTCTTTCTTCACGGAAAATTTTTCTTAAGCTAACATTTTACAAGTATTTAAAAACAAAAACCGATCAAATCTTCGAGTAGATACAGTTTATGTAATGCCTCAATCTGTATTTCTTCGACGATTTGGTATGACATTCCGACAGTTTCTGCGATCACATGTATCAGTGGGAAAAGAGCCGAGTGCTGATTTGCTTGAGAAAGCTACCGTTCGTCCGTTTATTCTTCTGTAAGTAACTTTCCTATTGCATCAATCAGTGCTTGGGTACTTTTTTGGTAAGCTAATCGAAGTTTTTGAAAATTATATTTATTATGATTTACAAATTTTATTTGCAAATTTCTTTTTAAGCTTTGCAACATCACAAATCGTGCTTTTTGCTACAAGCATTATGTTATAACGTTATGGAATAGTGTAAGCTAAATTTTGAATACTGGTCAAAACTAAAAGCACTAAGATGTGTTATGCACTTCAGAATTTTTCAAAGAAAAAAATTTATTTTTATTCTAGAGATTATGTGGATGATACTTTGAAGGAGAGAGATCGTTTCGGTTTCAAGAAAATGATAACAATAGATGATTTATTCCGTGCACGGGTACATTATGGTCACAAGGTCAGTTAATAACATTTCATATGCAGTATTAACAAAAGGAAATTACATTATATTTCCTCATCTCGAAAAACATCAAAAAAGGGAGTTATGGGAAATTACGTTTCCAGTCTAAGAGGTTTTTAGTCAGATTTCAGTGAGAAGAGTCATAACATCAAACTCTAAATGCTATTTTTGCAGATTGGAACAGTGAATGAAATGATGAAGTGGTCATTATTTGGCGAGCGTTTAGGTGTTTGCATTTTTGATTTGCAGAAAACGCGTGAATGCTTGATTATGGCATTAAATTTTATCGCTCATATAGCAATACGTGGTGGAATGTTTCTATTCATCACGGCAGAAAAGTGAGGAAATTAGTAGAACTGATTTAATTGGGATTAATTAGTGAAGGGGCTGGAAAATCTCATGCTGAATTTAACGCATAGTTCATTTCAAAACTGTTTTTATTTCAAACTAAAGTAAGCTACGACTATTAGTATAATATTTGTTCCTTCAGAAATAATATGTTAATGGTTGAGCGAAAAGCTCTAGAAATAAATGAATTTGCGCACATACGTTATTGGAAAGTAGATACTTTACTTAATGCAAAAGCATTATTTGGCGCGCCGGTACGTCTACCTGACACAATCATATTCCTATCGACATTAACATCGGTTTGCTTATTTCCTTCATTCTGTACTTCTATTTTTTTTTCTTTTTGATCATTATTCGTCTATTCATCTCTAACTTCATCTTGTTGTTGTATGACATGTTAAGAGATCGTTCAAATTATAAGAAAGGACAAAAGAGAAGACCTTATATCAGTAGATGAAGACATTAAATCCCGATCTAATTTTCAAGATCTGAAGGGCTATATTTCCACCGTTCCACAAATAAATCTGTCAAATATTTTACGAGAACAATTGGTGACTTTCCATTCTTTTGATCTTATACGCGAGGAAATTTCCTTACGACATTTTTTTTCAGACTTTTTTGCAAACCAATCAGAAATTTATAGAATGTTTGAAATAATTTATGGAAAAAGCGTTTCTTCTACAAAATTTAATCTTTATATAGAAAAAATATTCCAGGTATTAGAAACGCACCCAGCAGTACGCGAAGCAGCAAAAATGATAATTCCAACGGTAGGTATCGTAGATTCCAATGCTGATCCTACCTATATTACATATCCGATTCCAGGAAATGATGACTCAACGCCCAGTATAAGTTATTTCATGGATTGTTTTGTTAAAGCTATCAAGATAGGGAAAGAAGCACGGCGGTCATTAACTGCTAATTAACAACTAACTCTAAGTCGAATTTGACGTCGTATAGGATTTGTTTTCATTAAAAGTATGTTTATAACCAAACACTTTTGCACATATTATATAGCTCTATGGTTACATTTGATTTACACTGATTTATTATTGCTATTTCTATACTTGTATACGTTTTACGAACAACAGTAGAGATAATACATTTGAACACTTTGGCAAAATAAATCAACGTTGTAAAAAATATATTAGCAGCAACGACCAAATCACAACTGAAATAATACCCGGAACTCATTGGAGAAAAGATACAACCATTATCAATTGTTTTTCTTCTTTTTCTTATTCTTCACTGGAACGGCTGTCTAAAAATCATCTCATGAGCATGAGATGCAAAAAAAGCTAAAGCAGATCAATTCAGTAGAAGATCATATCATAAATTTTTGTTATAACAAGAAATTTACCGTTCCAAGAACAATCCGTTTCTTTTCATCCTCGTCTATTTCGATTGATGAATGTTCTACACCTGTTAAGCGATTTCGTAATAATTTCTGCTTCATAAACTAAAAAAAAACATAAATAAATATATGAATGAAATATGTGGCTTATTAACTTAATTCGTTTCCTGAAAAACAGTCGAAATTAAATGATTTAGAGTATGGCCATTAAAAAGGCCCCCCACTATTTTAGTTTTTTTGTAAAAACGATAATTCAAGAATAAAAAAATGGTTCTCTCATCTTTATTTAAATCTACATCTCACTCTAAAGACCGAGACAATTATTTACACTATTTACTTTTTGAAAAATACATTAAAAATAAAACATTTGACCTGTTGAAGCAGTACCCGTCGACAACGCTGTTTAATTGCTAAAGCCAAGTCCAGCCATGTCCAATTTTTTTCATGATATTCACACAAAGGGAAAACCAGCTGAAATCGATCGACATCTTCAATATTTTTTTCTTTGTTTCCCTAAAAAAGCATGAGATGAAATTAGTGATATTTAAAAGCTGTAAGCAGAGAAACATTGGATCAGCTACTACAAAAACTATACATTTTTGTGAAAAAATTTAATACTAGAAACGTATAAAGAGAACCCAGAAACTTATTAGCTTACTTTTTAGTAAAACTTGAAGTGGAAGAAAAAAAATTTTCATTAGCAAGTAATATGACACAAAATACTACCTTGTATGAAACAATGAAAGGCACTTCAGGTATTTTAATGTACAGAAAAACATTATTTTCTTGAGCCCGCTCCTTCATACGGTCAATATCATCACGTAAATGTCTGGAATCATTCGTTCGCCGAAATGAACCGTTCATCGCACCACGTAACCATTGCCCAACTGATACACCCTGCGAAGAAGTTGCATATAGCTTCATTAATTTTTGCAAGTAATTATGTCCACATTTCATTAATTTCTATACCAGAAGATGTATTAAGTACTAACATAATAGTTTTCATTTTAAGATAATAGTTTTCATTTGCTTCATCTTTAAGTGCAATCACTAACGGTATTTATTGAAAATCAATGAACAGTTTTTTCACCTAAGAAACTTCGGTTGCTCAGGTTATTTCATGTGAAAAGTAGTTTATATAAAATCATCCTTGAAATACGGTAGTCATGACTGCCAAGATAGACTAATAGTTCAGTGCACATGTCGTTTCAAATAAAGTGCAACTTTTAAGAATTTTTAACTTATTTTGAATAATTTTACCTAATAAAGTAGATTAATGAACATGGAAAAGTAAAATAGAGAACATTATTCTTGACACGAAATACTTGAAACAACCAGAAAGCATATTACATTCTTTGGATTAAATTTCTACTTCAAAAATAAAGAAAAGCTACCTGATTATTCTGCGGCTCTTCATTCGTATCAAGATTCCGTTGATCTTCTTTGTCGATATTCCTTCCAGGAAAAAAGTACTCCATCATTTTTTCGAAGAATCTATACGTAATTTGAGCATTCATGGGTGAAACATTGATCTCGAAATGTTCCTTCACCGAAATTCCGCCAACTAAAATCATCCCTTTATCGAACGTTTTCGATAATCTAGTACAATGAAATAAAAGACAACTAAACAGTTAAGCACCATCCGATATTGAACGAGTAAAAGAAGAGCTGAGGAAATTTCATTCAAAATAAACTTCAATTTCCAAATGGAAAGCGAACAAGCAAAATTAACTGGTAAATTTTGAAAACCGTAAGAGGAAGTATACCTGGCGCTTTCTCTCGACAAACAACACGAATTGATGCGGGTTGACGTTCATTTTTTCTTCGTGATGTATTTTGAGCTTGTAGAGTATGCTGTAAAATAAAAAAGTTTCAATGTCGAAAATGAGAATTTCCGACACTGAAAGACACTGCCACAGGAGATAAAGCACGAAATTAATAATAATTGATGTGATTACCGCTACACCAATGTGATTATCCCCTACACCATAGAAATGAGAGTTAAGATCACTGAGACAGCCTTATTTTAAATGTAGTGCTTTCAATGAGATTGAAATGTCAGCTCACACATAATACAACTCTTCGAAGATTCTTATCACCAGCAAATTTCCATGAGCGAATCAGATGGTAGAATAAGGAGTTAGAAATTACGAGTTTAATTTTAGTTTCAAAACAAGAACCTTATAAAGGGTATCTGGAAGTAGATTAGTAACTTGTACAGTTCCAATTTCCAATAAATGCTCACCAGAATTATCTATACGCGCCGTACGTGTATACCTGAAATGATATTTATAGAACCAACAATATCTTTTTGGAAGAAAATTAGTGGAGACAAATTCTTACAAAAAATTTCGTATTTGCATTTCTGCAAGTGCAATTTGACCATCACTTTCTGTAAGCCTCCAAATACAGTCTTCGAAACAAACTTCAAATCTGAAAAATACGATTTTCGAAACAGAGTTCAGGTCCGAAACATAAAATGTGGAGTTGGAATTTGTAAACCAAAATTTAATTAGTTAAAAATTAAAGCTTATCTAAATGTTAATTCCGCTCACAACCTACAATTTATTTATGAAATTATACTACCTTCTAGCCACAGCAGCTTGCTCTTCCTCAGCAGCGTTAACCAGCTGTCGCATCCTTTCCACTTGTTTCTCTTTATAACAACTAAAAATAAATGAAACGAATGGCACAGTATTGTAAATTAAAGACTTTAATAAAACGGATTGAGGACTTTTAATTTACATTAGTTGCTGTCTGCATTTAAATCAGTAGGTTTTGTGAATTTCATCTAAATTAAAATAAGCTTAAATATGTTTTCCCCCTTTGCAAGATTCACAAATTCCTCAAGCTATCACTTGGAAACCACATCAATTTGCACTAAAATCTGGAACCACCTTATAGTCATTGCTAATTCATCACTGAGAACAATTTGATTTTTTTTCATTTCATCGATTTCTGCAGTCACAGTTTTGTTAGCCTCCAATATCCTAAAAATTAATGAGTATGAACGGATTAAATTGCCTTTCACAGAGTAAAAAAAAAAAAATGAAAAAATAAAGTGATATAACAGATCTTCTTTCAAGCACTTATATATTAAATAATTGTGAGTCCATATTTTATTGTCTTCACTACAACAGAACTTCCCGAAATTGTTCATTTCATACTATCATCCATATAGTACTTTTTTTTGTACACACGACTAATGGAGGATCATGAGCAATAAACGTACGCATCGTCATTGCCAGGTTCCTGTAACTGCCTGTTCAGGAAAAATAAACGTCTTTCCAATGAACGGATTACCGCAATAACATCTCGTAGTTCTGCCTGTTTGGGAAAAACACTTCACTGACATCGATGAAATCAAAACAAACTTAAATTATTTATAGTTTTATTTCTTTTGAGTTGGAAAGAGGATGTGAGCAATTCAAAAAGTGAAAAACTCAATAAGTTTTGTAAAGCAAATTCGACATTTTTCAGTAGGAAATGCTGACCTGCATGGCAAAAATAGCCGATTTTACTTCATCAACATCTTTAAGTTGTAACTCAAAACGCAATCGCTGTCGCCGACGATCACTTTCTTTCTTTCGTGGATCCACAAAAAGAACCAATTGATTTACAATGTTCATCACCATTTGGTATTGCTCGGGATTGGTGCTAACCTGAAACTAAGAATAGAATGCATTGAGGTAAACTTGCCGATCCTCAGATAATGAGTAGGAAATGATATGAGAGAAAAGAATAATTAAAGATCTCGCCTCTAACATATTGTGCTTTAAGGTAAAGCAATCAACTGGTTCTGGTTGACCCCAAATTTCTCCTGCCTCATTCGTTTCGCCGATCTATGAAAAAAAATTACAATGAATGTGTAAAATGGACAAAAATCCATACATTAAGCTTCATATTGAATTTCTTCAAACCATAGCGGCACTAATTTACTTTTCAATTATATCGAACAAAACTGTTCACTATAGTGCAAATTCTCATCGCTGTTCACATTGTCCTGTTGTTGAAGCATACGAAAAGAGCTTTCAAAACATATTTTGTTAAAATAATTTCATCTGCATACTATTTATAAAGCATACCGAATAAGGAATATCATGAGTATCCAAATCTAATGTATCCGAAAAATAGCAAAAATACATTTGACAACTACATCTCGAAACAACTCGTTGTAACTGTAGTTTCCCCTCAGTTTGTGCTACATTACCATGATCTGAAATCAAGCATACATCCATAATGAACCAAAAATTCCTAGAAAATCTGTATAAAAGAACTGTTCCTGGTTGACAAAACTTATTTATTCTATTCAATTCCAATTCTTTGTTACAATTTCTCATTCACATTATAAAAAAGTTCTTGTACAAAGAGCTCGTGAATATAAAATTGTTTACCAACAACTACACCGCCCACAGCTTCTCCAGTGCTAATATAAGGATTCAAGCGATCACTGATATTAGGATCACTGCATGTTTTTTCCTCAATAATATCTCGGTTCAACCAATGAAAACCTTGCTGAATTGATTCCGACGAAGAACCTGATGGGTTGAGATGCTGAGACATTACCAGAGGTGCGAAGTACTAAAAATATATCACTTTCTATCTCACCTTTCTTCCTCGTATGAGCATTATAATGACCGCGTAATAAAATCACTAAGCCAACAATTGAAATGATATTAACTCTTTTGATTTATGATATCACTGCAAAAAAGTAGAGAAAAATACCTGCATCCCGGAAAATGTTGCACACCATGACTTCTTACTCAACAATTGTGATTTTTTCCAAACTAATGCATAGATACGCTGAGTCACAGATGCACGGGCAGCAGTTAGTAAAACAAATCCGTCCTTTTCTTTTCCGCGTAAAACGGCTTGGCTATTAATAAGATCAACTGAAATACGAAACACATTTATATTTATTTTCTGTATCAAATAATGTAATGTAAATCAACTCACTTTGCCAATTAATCAATACTACGTCGTCAGCGGAACACAGTGCAATTCCTTGTAACATATCTGCAGGAGTGTCAGTTGTCTAAAATTGTTATGCATGCAAATGAGAATTATGTAGTGAACACATAAAATAAGACTTTTTCTTCAGCTATGCTTGAGGAAAAAAGATGTCACTCGATTAATGAGTATTTCTGTAACAGAACAACAAAAAAGTGGGACTTCTTCATCGTAAGCGACAAGTTTCGTGCTCGCTTCGTCTATTAGTCGCTGCAACATATCATTTTCTTCTGTCACTTGTCTATCAGAACCACATCGTAATCTGTAAATAGCTATACACACTTTTCACAGTTACTATTACACTAAGTAAAAAAATAAGGCAAACTGCTTCTGTACGTTTCCAGATTTTTTTTAGATTTTTTTTTTCTGAATCCTGAAAACTGTTATATAACAGCTAAAATAAATAACATTATCGCTATTGCTGAGAATACTCAGCTCTCGATATCTGCTTGTTACTGTTGCCAAATGTCAAACACAAAACATATTAGATCACAATTTTACTCAAAACACTTAGATTCTACAAACTAGAAGTTTTGTTACTAATTTAAACATGTATTAATCAATATTAATGAAACGTTCCAGCAATATGATAATACAGTAAGCCAACCACAGCAATTTTCGTGCTATAATTAAAAAGACTAAATACTCACTGATTTGTTGCTTTTTCAGAATCAGAATGTAATCTTGAGACAGTCGACCTTGTCGTACTCACACCATTTAAAGTAGCTGAGTGTGGTGCTGGAACTCCCGATTCCGTAAACTGCAATAAAAAAATCGTTATATCCTTACAACTTAAAAGTTCTTTAAAAAGTCCTCCAGTGACTAAATTACTGCTTTAACATTAAACTGAAAAGAAAAATTGGAACCAACACTTGGTGTTTTCATTGCATCTGTTCCTAAAATACGTCGCAAAATATGGGCTTTATGAACACCATCCGCAATGGCCAAGCACGTATCACGATTTTCCGGGGTCCATGAAGCACGCAAATCATGAATTGTAAGTCGGTGCACCGCTTCATCACTTTCCGATACTTTGACTTTCCTATTACCAGAAGAATGGCTGTCGTCCTCAAAGAAAAAATAAAATTCCTGAAGCTTTTAACTGAAGAATAACTTCGAAAGAAAACAAAAATAAACTTCTCCACAAAAAACAGACTGAATATTGAGAAGTCAAACAGGATGAACATTGTGCTTAATTAGATATTAGATCTTAAAATATCGACTACCAACTGCATGCTTCCAGCTAAATCAAAAATTCTGGGAATCAAAAACTCTCAGTAAAGAGCAAACCAGTTATCAATTCATAACAGCCAAAACAAAATCATTCTAACTGCAATCAAACACTTCATCGTACTTTAATCAATGATAGAATTAAATAACCAAACCATAATTTTAGTACCTTTAATTTGAAAAAGCGAAATCATAACACAAACCTTAGATCGTGCCTCTCGCGTATAAGACAATCGATCCAGTCCAATAAAAAACGAATTGTCATCAATTGGAGCAGCAAAATTTTGTGAATTAGCCCCAAAAAGATGAATTTGTGCATTTAAAAGCTGTACTGAAACGTATAAAACGGACCATTTAGCAACTCGTCTTCTGTTGACTCCATCCTGAAACTACAGAAAAC